TCTTGTGAAAGATTCCTTCCCCCTCATCCATTTCCATCCCTCCTCTCCTCCCACCTCGATCCAATGTTCACCCTCGATGGGGTTTCCTGCAAACTAATTCATCAGAGAGCGGAGACAACAGGAAGGTCTCACCCGACATGTCTTTCGCAGCTTGCCACCTATCTTTGAGCCAGTCCTGCCATCATCCCACAAGTTCAGCTCAATCGAGTTGAACAGACTGAGTCGGGAAAGGTGGGAGGCCCCGAGCCGGGCGGCCGGGAGGGACAGGGAAAGAAAGAGGGGATCTCATACCGCAACGGACTCTGACGTCACCACCTGCGCCTTCCCTGCACCATGACTCAGCCTTCGATTTGGCTGCGGCAGGGAGGAAGGGGATGACACACCAAGGTTCCCGTCGACGTCGGAGGTAGCAGGCTTCCCCTCGGAGATCAGCGCTGTCTCCATCAAGTCGATGTTGATCCTGCCAGCTGTATTCAGACACAACAGCCCTCCCTCACGTGTTTTGTACGTCTCCTCCACAACGGTGGAGTTCCCGACGTAGTCGATTAGCGAGACCCCCATCGCGTTCATGGTCCAGTAGGTCTCGAAGCATATCATGATCGCCAGAGCGCCGACAGCCTTGAGGATGCACTCAATGGCTGAAACCCTCCTCCTCTCCCTTTTTTCCCTCCCTCTCCTCCTCTCCCTCCCTTTTCTTTTTCCCTCCCTTCTCCCCTCCCCTTCCCTCCCTCCCCTCCCTCCCCTTCCCTCCCTCACATAGAGGAAGAAGCCGGGACCCTTCTTGCTACTTCTGCTTCGAGTCTCGGAAGCGGAGCTCGAGGGCACTGCAACGTAGCACGATCAAACATCCATGCTCCATCAGCCGCTGCTGACCTGGCTTCGGCAACTCGGCCTCTGCTCGTTTCCTTAGGGTGAACATACTCCAGGCGAATCCTTTGAATCAAATCTGCTCTCAACGTGAAAACGTACTTCCATCCATGATCTCGCTTCCTCCCTGCAGAACTTTCGAATCTCCCAACATATCGGTCCTACTCAAATCTTCTTTTCCACATGCTCATGTCCTATTCTCGATCAAAACTTCTCTCTGCCCTACTCTCGTCTCTCTGCTTGGCTCTGCTCTGCTCACTCTCGCTCTGCTCACTCTTGCTCTGCTCACTCTCGTCTCCTTAATCATCCTCCCTCTCCTCTCCCCTCTCCCCTCTCTCTTCTCTTTTCTCTCCTCTCCTCTGATCTACTCGGTCCTTACTCACTTACCTCAGCTACCTCACCTTCCTCGTGTCTTTCTCCCCTTTCCCTCTCTCGCACTATACTCTTCACTCTCCTCTCCCTCCTCTCTCTCCCCTCCCTCCCTCTCTCTCTTTCCACACACACACACACACACACACACACTTTGTCCCCCTCTCCGCCCCCGCCTCCCCCCTCTCTCCTCTCCTTCCCCTTCTATCCTTTCTCCTGTCACTTCCCCCTCTCTCTCCAGTCTCCTGTCTCCTCTCCCTTCCCTCTCTCTCCTGTCCCCTGTCTCCTGTCTCCTCTCCCTCCCCTCGACACTCCCCGACATGCACGTCTCTCAGACCCGCAGCCCGGACGTGATAACCCCATTAACCACCCCCATTCACCCCTCCTTCTCTACCACCCCACCCAATTATAACCCCTACATTTCTCCTCAAAGTACCCTTGTTTACAGACAATCTGTTAACCTCCAGTTTCCTACCCACCCCAGCTGTGACAATCCACCCCTCCTTTCAAAATCTACTAGGACGTACTACAGTAGTGAGTGGGCAAGTCCACACGGTGGCATCCGGGCCGGCCCGGGGCCGCCGCAGCCGGGGCCATCCCGGCCCCGGCGGCCGCCGCAGGTCCGATCGGGCCCCGGCTCTTACCGTCACGAGTCACGGTAGTAGTACAGGCCCTGGCTCGGAGTGCTCAGTGACAAGGCGGGCCATTCTCCGGCGGTACGTCACTGTCAGACGGTGTTATCATCTGGCCGTCAGGCACCGTACGCCGGTAGCCCGGCGGCCATCATCTGATTTCGGAACAGAGTCCAAGGAACCTTTACGCTAACATTTTCATTGAAGAGCACCTAGCTCTTAAAACAATATCTCCACGGCGGATAATCTCGTAGCTCTGATACTCCGAATCTCAAGTTTTCATGAGGCATTAACGTCGCCCCTTGCTCATCCCTCTCTTTCCCTGTCCCCGGAACGAATTTCTGTCCCCTCCTTGCCCTGCTCAGAGACCATCTTAGCTCAACATTGCAGAGGGGAGGAGCTTGTCCCAACCATTGTTTCTCCGTTGATTCTTCGCGCCTCCTCGTCCTCGTCCCCTGGCAGCGCCTCGATTCTGCGGCCCATCCTTGTGTACATAGAAGTATCCGTTGGAAGGCATGGAGCCATATCTGGGAGAAAATCAACGGGTGACGAGGACGAGGAGAAGAAAGTCGGACTACCTCGGGACTTCATAATCCATGAAGACAACTTCCTCTGCTGGGAATGAGCCGGGGGCACGTGGGACATTCACAAGAGGTACCTGATTGACTGCCAGCATCGTCGAAGCCGAAAATCCCTCCTGGTTAAGAGTTGGGAAAGTCAAGAGTTGGGAGAGGCCGGAAACGACAGTGGGAGGGGGGGGGGGGGGGGGTAGCAGAAAGAGAATGAGAGCAATTGGCAGAAGGAAGGAGAGGGGAGGAGATTATTTCAGAGGAAAAGGGGACGGGGTTGCTACTCACCAGCTCCACTGAAGAAGGCATTGAAAATATCTTGAGGATTCACGAACCCTTGCCCACCACCACTGTCGTCTCCTTCATCGCCTCCGAACGCGGCTTCGCCTTGTGCGTCATAAAGCTGTCAAGGAAGAAATCAGTTTGCACGGCAGAAGCCGAATCTCTTCGAGGGAACAACCTTCTTCTTCTCGGGGTCGCTCAAGATTGCGTATGCATCCGTCACCTATGACGCGCCGTCAGGAATGTTTGCATCATAGGACAGCTTCAACCTTCTTGAACATTTCTTCTGCCGCTGTCTTGTTATGAGGGTTCTTGTCAGGATGCCACCTGGATCCTTTCAGCACGTACAACCGGGTCACGAAGAAAGCAGACTTGAGCGCAAGCTTCTTGTAGGCCTTTTTAATGTCATCTACAGTCGCATTCTTCGAGATCCCCAGTACGTCGTAGCACCGGGTGTTGTTGACCTGTAGTTGGAGACAGTGACTGTCAATTCGATTTCGTTCTCAATTCGAGGACAAACCTCTCCGGAAGGTACTTGCATGCTGTGTTGTCCAAGAGCAGGTAGCAGAGAAAAGGGAACAGAAGCAGTGATGTCAGAAGATGGAAGAAGAGGGAGAGATTCAAGGACAACAACCAAAGTCTTGGCTCGCAAAGTTGCCTGCCTACCTGTCTGATCCTTCGACGGGATTTCCTTGGGAATCAACATAAATGGTAGAGCCCTCCCTGAATCGACTTTCAGCAACTTCCGTGGGATTCAAACGTGACTCACGAGCTAAATCCTTCAGAGTCACTGTATTCATCCTGAACCGCAGTGCTCAGCAAGCGATTACTACAAGGCAAACAAAACTCACATCGCTGTCAGATTGCATGTCACTGTCCCCCATGTCAAACTCTTCAAAGTCTCCACCAGAACTGTATGCTTCACTGGCAGAGAAGAACTCTTGGCGCCGCTTTTGAAACTGATCACATGATTCGTCTCAGCCTCGCATTGTTGTCACAATGACAACATCGATCCACCTGCTGGTTCGGACTGCGATATCCCTTTTGCCATCCCCCGTGTTGCCTACAGCATCCGTTCAAAAACCTTGTCCACATGGAAACCTCCTGACCTTGGCTTGTTGCCTTGGTTGGATGATTGATGTGATGCTGAACCCTGTGAGTCTCGCCTATTTTGGATACAATCGTCAACCTCATACAACCCTCGCGAATGATGTCAGACCTTGTGTTCTGGTTGTTTCCAGACATGTTGGGCTTCTGGTTCTGCTGTTTGTTCTTATTCATCTTCCTCCTCCATTTGTTCCGTGCACCCGCTCCGCGTAGAACTGTCTTCAGGAATGAATACCCCTGCTGACCGGCGCAGACGCCGGCCGGGTTGGAGGCAACATGGGCGGGCGTCCCAGCGATCACGTCAGCCTGAGCGCATAGCGAGATCTTCAAGCAGAGCATCAAGACGACCAGGAAGTTGGTTGGCGAGCCCATGGGGGAGGGAAGGCGGCCGATCAGCTCTGGATCCTTCACGTGCTACAATACGCCTCCTCGCAGATTCCTAGTCTATGGGTGCTTTCCCTATGGAGGACCAATCTAATCGGAGGCGGCCCTTTCTATCGCACCCATGTTGACCTTTGCCTGTTACTTCGTCCTCGTCCTCGTCCTCGTCCTCGTCCTAGTCTCGTTCCCGATCCTCGCTCACCTGGACGCTCCCGTTCCTGTTCCACTGCAGTGAGGAGAAGGCTCGAAAGAGGTATCAGGTCTCACGGATCAGAGCAGCGCACACAGGGGCTAAGGGTGGACCAGCATGTCGAGGAGGCGCCAGGAGCATGGCAGGGGCTGTGTCGAAGCTCTGCGACCCCCCGCACCCGACTGCTACCGCCGGCATGCGAGCGGGGCAAGGGTGTTGGTAGTCCGCGGATGATGGTAGATCTAAACGTCTTTTTAACGACTCCCGGCGCCGGCGGCACTGAACTTCGGAACGGTGAACGGGCCGGGCCGTATGTCAGTCCGTCGGGGTTCCGAAGTTCCCAGTGTGTCACACTCTCAGTAGCCTCAACACAGTACGCAGGTAGCCGCCTCCTGATCCGCCGATGAGGATCGGCGTATACCGCCGTCTCAGTCCGATCACTGATCCCGGCCCGAGTCCAGGGCCCCCGGACCGGCGGGCCGGCTACTGAGAAGCCGGGGCCCCGGCAGCAAGTTCCCTTTCGCCGAGTTAGGGGGGTCAATCGTTTGACAAGCCGTTGCCGCCATGGCGTGGATCGGGCCGGAGGAGGCGCGAGCATGCAAGACGAAGCTGTGGCCGCGCCCAGACAGGCAACGGAGAGGACGGTGAGGATGGCATGAGAGCCTGCTGATGTCAGTCCTCCTGGCAGGTCCTGGCCCTGGCTGATGTCGTGGCTGACGCTGGTACTGCATTGTCGCGCTGATCAGCCGACAGAAGGGGTGGAAGCGAAGTGAAGTGAAGTGACTTACAGGCTATCGTGCTGTCAACCATTGAGAACACAAGACGATCTGAGGAGAACGAGGTATCAGAGAGTCTTGAAGATGCTTGAAAGAGATTTCATTACCTTCAGGCCTTCGGACAGCAGGAGAAATCTTTGTACAGATTAGCGCGAGTGAGTCTCCCACTGCATCCTCAGACTGTGCTCGTTGCCTCCCAGTGACGTTCGTACGACCAGCTGTCAGCCTACAGCGAAGTCAGGAGCCCAGCTCAGTTCTGGGCATGGCTCGATATCCGGTGAAACTTGTCCCTTCTCATGCCCGATGCTGAAGGCTTGTCGAGTAGATGGGTCGGGAGGATGAAGCAGCTGACGTGAAGACCATAAGATCTCCTTGTTGGTACGTGATCACCCTTATGTACAGGAGGGCGTCTCCTCCGGCAAGAGCTTCCAGGAGCAATCAGGCATTCAGTTGACTCTGCTGTGACCTTGCTGACGCCGCTGGTTCTTTGCAGTTCCCTACGTCCACATCCCTGGTGCGAGGCTCGTTCCTCTTCGACACAAGGTGAGGGCAGCAGGAGCGCGGCTGTCTGTGGATGTGCGTGACTGCTCTTGCCCTCATGCAGCAGCAACACATCGGAGCCGAGGAGCTCCAACGACGAAGCTCCCTTGACCATGAGGCAGCATCGAGGTTCAGAGAGAGCGTCGTGACGGGCTGTTCTGACGAGTGTGTTGGGAGCGCAGGAGGGAGCGGCGACTGCTCCTCTGATCCCATCCTTTCTCATTTCAAGTGAGTGAAGGCTCGGCGCGCCGTCCTCCTCCTGACTGTGCCAACAGGCCGTTGAACACCATTCGAAAGAGTGATGTTTCGAAAGGGTCTACCCGCTCATGCTCATCTCGACGACAGAGTTCTGCTTCCAGCGAGCCTCTGTGCCATGGGAGCCGAGTGTGCTGGCGCAGTACGTTGAGTCCTCGAGGTCCAGGAGCAAGTAAGCTGGTGGTTGGGTGACAGTTTCATGCTCAGGAAACGGTTCACCATAGGAGAATGTGCAGTAGGGTACGTGTAAGGATGTTCCTCGCATACCGATTCATTCTGATAGCAGATGCTCTGCTTTTGGAGATGATGGGTGCAAGAAGTTCCTACACACAAGCACGAATGGTACTCGTACATCTGGGCTCTACTTCATGATTGAACGGGGTCGTTCCAGGCCTTCTGACAGGATTTTTCTCCTCCTATGGTTTCTCCGCCATCAGCTTGTCTCAAGTCGGTACTGCGCTGCTGGATCCGAGGTGCTCATGGGGACATTCAGGACAAACTTCCGACTCCCTTGTCCTTCACCTCCAAACTTGTCTCGGCGAGGCAGCGAGGTTGAGTAGCCCGTTTCCTGTTCTCTGCTCCTGACTCCGATGCTGACGCAGCCGAATGCTTCTTTCCGCTGGTAAGGAGGCTCGGAGGGTCCTGAGCGTGCGATGACGGTGAAGGAAGGGGGAAGCGAATTTCACGTGCAGAGACTTGAATGTCACCGGCCAAGTGATGCTCAAGAGGAGACTGAAGAGTCCAGCTGACCGCCTGCCAGGTCGCGCCTTTCAACTCGTGCCTGACCAACATCGAGGTCCGAAGAAGTCTCATGGCGGCCAGTCTTAACTTGCAGCGGTTCACAGGGGATCACCATCACACAAGGGGACTGCCCGCAAGGTTGTGTGTGCCTGATGAATCCTGCCAACGTTTCTGCCCCCTCGAACATAAGACATTTCGTGCAGACCCTCTCACCTGCTCCTCAACATACAGCAGCTACAGCAAGGTAACTTCAACTCTCTTGCCTCCAAGAGTCTCCATGTAGTCGCGACTTTTGCCGTCCTCACCGCCTCTCCAAGGTTCCTGACCAAGTCTGGAACGGCACGGGCTGGGCCAGGCCCGTCAGACCTGCTCCTCGCAAGAGCTGCGACGAGTGGGAAGGGACCCTTGCGAGCTACCGTGAAGGTCAAGAGAGGATATGGAGGATGGGAGCTGAGAGGAAGAGCAGAGAGCGGGAGCAGGGAGGAGGTTGTTGTCATTGTAGGAGGAGGAAGCGGGCTGTCGTCAACATTGCAAGGCATGAGGACGAATTCCTGGATCGACAGAGACACGAGGGTGATGAACGCAATCATTCTTCCTCCTTCCTCTCCCTCCCTGTCAGCTCCCTCTCCCTCCCCGCTCATAGTTTCCTTCACTCCATCAGGCTTCTCCTTCCCGCTTGTTGTGCTGTTTCTTTCTCTAAGGACTGTTCTTCCTCCGTAGACCTCCTCCCTCCTCCCTCCTCCTCCCTCTCTTCGCTCTCTTCTCCTTCCTTCTTCCTCCTCTCTTCACTTTCGCTCGCAGGCCTTCGGACTTGACTCGTGGATTCTCAACCCCGCTGCTCGTTCGATGTCGCCTCCCCTTTCCTTGACCTCTGACCGCATCCCGCAGGAAGTGTAGCTCGACTTTCCTTCTTCCTCGAGTCAACAGCAGGGGGAGTTTTCCTCCCTCAGGTTGTGCTCCTCCTCTCCCTGGTCCTGGTCCTGGTCCTCCTGTGCTCCTTGTCTCCTGCTGCCCTTTTCGTACATCCTTCTCTCATCCTCCCTTTGGCTCTCTCCCGCTCAACCTCCGTCTCCTGAGCTCCTCTTTACGCAGATCTCCCTACGCGTCGTCTCGCTCTACGGTCTTGCCGTTGCTCGTGGTTCGAAGACGATCGCTGACGATGACGGGAGCAGAGGGGGCAAGGCAGCAGACTGACGTCGTAACCTTGATCGTCATCGTCGTCTACCTCTCCTGGTCGCTCGCGTACTCGGGTGAGGAGGTGGAGGAGGCGGCGACTTGACTGAGCGAGGTGCTTCGGGTTGGTCAGTCCGTTACTATCCGACCTCTTTGGTAGCAAGGGCGACGGTTTTCTTCCTCAAGATGGTGAGAGAGAGGGAGGGAGAGGCAGGGGAGGGAGGGAGGGAGGGAGGGAGGGAGGGAGGGGGGGAGGGGGTGATGGGAAGGGAGAGGGGCATAGGTGCTTCATCAGGAGCGAGTAGAATGTCATTTAAGCAGCACGAATCAGGTCTCATGCAACAGATTCGTCATCTCGAACATTCCAAGGGCAGTCGAGCGAAGGCGAGCAAGGGTGGAAGAAGCTGAGGAGGAGGAGGAGGAGGAGGAGGTACAGTTTGCAGCCTTACGTGACTTTCTTGATCGAGAGGGCTGGCCGATCTTCGATCTTGCGATCTCTTGTCTCTTCTTGGTCAAAACCTCTCTCAGCCTCAAGGTGTTGAAGTCATCTTCACCTTCATCGTCATCTTTCCTCGACAATCTGACGCAAGCTCTGTGCTGGAGGACAACTGAGTCTGTCCTCAACGGTGAGCCATGCGTTGATGTTTGAAGCAGACACGTTGACAACTGGAGCTGTGAAGGTCTGAGCTCCTTGCTCTTGTTCTTGGGCGCGTTCAGGTTCAGGAAGTCAAGGTGGAATTCGATCGATGATGTCTGAAGCCCCTCAACACTTCCTGCAGCCGATCACTTGTATTCCTCCTACGATCGTTTGCCAAGGTATAAGACCATCAAGCCTTCAAGGCATCTCCTCTGACTCGTCCTCCTGCTCAGGCCTCCGCTCCCATCGCTGTCCTCCTCCTTCTCGTCATCATGTGACTCATCCTCCTCCCCTCTCACCTGCTCCTCCTCCCCTCTCACCTGCTCCGACACAGGTTCCTCCTCCTTTCCTCCATCCCCGCCGCCATTTCCGTCTCCTCTTGGGGTAACCATTCCTCCCTCGGTAGAGCTTCTCCTGCCGCATGCAGCACCTCAACATTAGCAGGGGACTGCGTCCAGCTAGCATTCAGCTCCCTCTTGACCTCCGACGTCTTCTACGGGGAAGCAGAGGAGGAAGCGAAACCCCATCACAGGAGCTACCGGCTCTCTTCGCCCCTTGCCGAAGCGTCAAACGTTTTCCAGCTGCTCCTGGGCCTGTCGGTCAGTGATGGGCTCCTCCGGCTACTTTCTTCCTCCTCCTTCGATTCTCCCTCATTGCCCTCCTCCATAAACACCAACACGCCTCCCACCTCCTCCTCCCTCCCCTTCCCTCCTTTTCCTTCCCCTTCCTCTTCCTCTTCCCTTCTCCTTCTCCCTCCAATTCATTCTATTCCTTCCTCCCCTTTTCTCTCGCTCCTCCTTCTCTTTCCTATCCTCTCTAGCTCGTTCTCCTTGCTCCTCCTCCCTCTTGCTCAACTAGTTGACTTGATTGGCAGATCGTGTCTCCTCTCATTGCTGCTGTCATTCTCTACACCATCCCGTTGGCTCGCAAACCAGACACGAGGAACATGAGGGATCCTCTACCTGAAGAGGTTGAGAAGCAGAGAGCTGGAGATGATGATGGAGATGATGATGATGATGATGATGATGGAGATGATGATGGCGATAATGATGATGGAGATGATGATGGAGATGATGGAGATGATGATGAAGATGATGATGTTTTCAGGCCATCATTTATCACAATATCTTCAAACAAGACATCTTCCTCTTGCTCAGGTTCTTTTGTTGTTCTCCTCGCGTTGCCTTCACATGTTTGTAGGTGGATTGATCATATCAGAACTCAGTTCCGAGAAATCTTTTGGGTCAACGAGAACTTCGGAGAGAGTTATGACGCAATGAGCAGCGCAGCAAGGTGATAGATATGACGATGACTATGAAGATGAAGGAGATGATGGAGATGGGGATGATGATGGAGATGGTGATGGTGATGGTGATGGTGATAATAATCACTTCCAAACAGTTTCATCAAGGATCCCGATTATGACCCCTCAGAATTTGAGCCCTTTACTGCCGGTGATGTGTACTTCTGGTGAGCAAGAGAAGATAGGAAGAGGAGGAGGAAGGGGAGGAAAGGAGGAGCAGGTATGAGTCAGCATCCTGACGGAGACGAACAGCATTCACGAGAGGATGGAACAATTTCATAGGCACATGATCGACAAGATGAGCTCGACGTCGCAAGCTATGGTTCGAACGGTGAGAAGGAGGAGGACGAGGAGGACGAGGAGGAGAGAGGAGGAGGAGGAGGTGATCTCGCGTCAGGTCAACCCGCTCATAGAGTCCCTTGAGCACCTCCAGTCACTGCAGACCAAGGGGGGAAAGTATGGAAGAGAGGGGCTAGGAGGAGGAGGAGGAGGAGGAGGAGGAGGAGGAGGAGGAGGAGGAAGAGGAGGATCGAGACACGAAGAGGAGGGACTAGGCCTTCAGAATTTCGAAGAGGATCTAGTCGACCTTGCACTGTTGGATCATGATGGCAGCGACTCGTCAGAGGTCTGAATTCATTTCTCCTGCTGCCCCTCCTCCTTCATCCTTCTGCCCTCTCATCCTAACCATCTTTTTCTCTTCCTAATTCTTCCTCCTCCTGCTACCTTTTCTCCTCTCCCCTCCTCTCCCCTCCGCGTCTTCTGCTCTCCTCTTCTGCTCTCCTCCTCCTCCTCCTCCCTCCCTTCCCGCGTTGACTCGCACGTGTCCTCACGAGTGCAAGCAGAAGGACGCGACCCTTCAGGAGACAGGGAGGAGCAGGAAGTTGCGACGCTTCGGGCTCAGCGCATGCGTGGAGGCCATAAGGAAGGTGTCATGGAAAGACGTCGTCTCCTCCCAGCCCAAGCACAAGGCCGTCACAGGCTCCGTCAACGTCCTCCTCCTCCTCGAGTTCCACCTCCACGGCAGGGTAGAGTCCTTCTTCTGGACTGGGTCGCTCCTCCAGGACGAGATCCGCCCCGACCTCTGCGCCGAGTGCGACATCGGGGTGGAGACTGAGCTCCTGCTTGACAAGCAGCTGGACTGGGAGGCCTTCCTCCTTGGAAGGGTCATGGTCAAGGTGTTCCTGCTGGAGGACGAGGACGCGCTGCATGATCAGAGCAGGAGGAGAGAGCTGCTCACCGTCGTCCAGCCCCTCCAGCACGTCGCCAGCATGCAGCAGACTCCTTCCCAGCTCGTCACCGTCTGGGTCGCGGCGATCCCAGCAGGAGAAGTCCAACTGGCGCTTCCTTCCTTGACGAGGCCGTGGAGGAGGAGGCGAATGCATCCTCCTCCCGTACCTCCTCCTCCTCCTCCTCCTCCTCCTCTGCTCGTCTCTCCCTCGACTCCGAGGAAGAAGCCACATCCTCGTTCGGTCGACCTGTCACTGCCTCCACTGTCAGGCCACCGAGCAATCTGAGAAGCTCTACAGCCCTGAGCTCCTCCTCCCTATCCTCCTCCTCTTCCTCCTTCTCCGAGGTAAACACTCCTCCTACCTGCTGTTCACCAACCTCTGCTGACCTCAAGCTCTCTCAGGACCCGCACGCAATAACTCAGTCGTCGCTGCCGAGGACCAGCTCCGGGCCCATCAGACCCTCAGTTGGTGAGCTGCCCGTTGGACAAGCGCGAACTTGTCGCCATTGACAATGTTTCAGATCTCACGCTCGGTGCAACTTCAGCACCGTCTTCGCCCAAGGAGCGCTGAGATGCGGGTGACTGTCAGCCGTCCATGTCTATATTAAGGTGTATGCTAGCAGACTGAGTTGTACGATGATGTAAGAAGCGAGTGAATGGTACTGATGCTCGATATGCGCGGAGATGGTCGAAGGGAAGGGTTGAGGGGAGGGAAGTTGTAGAAGGAGAAGTTGAGAGGGAGCAAGGTTGAGGGCAAGAGGTGCGGGAAATAGCGGGTTCATAGCAACTATGGTGTGGTCAGGAAAGAAAGAAGGACAGAGAAGGGGAGGACATGATGGGATAGCAGTGAATTGAGCAAGGCATACTATAACGAGCACATCCTTGTGGACTGACTCCTTGTCGAATCAAGTCCGCAACATGTTAGGATGGTAGCGAAGAGCTACAATCAGGAAGGAAAGCGGGTCATAGGAAAGAGACGTTAGCAACCTGCACCGCGCAAGAGAGGGGAGGAGATGAAGAGAGTCGAACGAGGAGTGCAAGTTCACATGTGAAGAAGGGACAGGATAGAAGTTCAAGAAAGAGGAGGGAGGACGAGAAGGGAGGAAGATCAGGGAGGAGGAGGAGGGAGGAAGGAGGGAGTGGGGGGGGGGGGGGGGAGGGGGGGGGGGGGGACCAAGGTGGGAGGGAGGGAAAGGAGGATAATCAAGACTCAGTTCGTCACTTTTGGAAAATTCGGGCAATTTTACCGGTTACTTTCCCTCAATTTTGGGCAAATCCCGGGGGCGGGGGGGATCGGCTCCCTTCTCTGACTAGGGGCAAACCCCGGGCATTCGAAGGGACCATGGAAAAAGATGCCAAAAAAGGAGGAGGAGGAGGAGGAGAAGGAGGGGAGGAGGAGGTGGAGGAGGAGGAGGAGGAGGAGGAGACCATAGAAGAGAAGGAGGGGAGGAGGAGGGGAGGAGGAGGAGGAGGAAGAGGAGGAGGAGGAGGCGTGTGGTAAAGGTGAGACTATTGCACGGCAAACCTCAACTCAGGAGGCAGAGATTCAAAATGATCACAAGGTTGTAAATGACCTCTCGGTGACTGAGTTGTCATCACAGGTGCAAAAGATGTCCACCAGCCTCCTAGCGGCCCTGCCGCTTCTCGCCATGCTCGCACACCTAGTCCACTCAGAGTCGGATCCCTCCAACCTGCTGCCGGACGGGACCCCTTCGCACTGGTCGCTCACGAGGAACGGAACCCTGAGATTCATGGTAGCGAGAGTGAAGTTTCCAGAAACAGGACGGGAACCGATCGAGGTAGCTGGGAATCTGAACCAGTCGCTCCTGGACACAGCTCTCTTCTACTCCGACTCGAGCTGGGGCCTGCTCAAGTTCCAGTACCAGTACATGCCGATGGTAGACATGACAACCCCCGCTACGTCCGCTACCCCGTCGACAGTTCGGACGGAGTGTCTCAATGCACTCTCAGCACAAGGGTTCGTCTACTGTGGAGGGCCGTGCGGGTCGAGGACGGCAGAGCAGGCAGGGCAGTTCGACGCCGTGATCCTAGCGATGAGGATCAATCCCCCAGCAGTGGACTGGGCAGGGCTGGGGGTGGTTGGGAACGGCTTCACCTGGACCATGTACCCGACGTCAGCTGGGATCTTGGAGCACGAAGTAGGGCACAACTTTGGGATGGGTCACGGGAGGACGACCAAGTTCAGAGCTGGGAAGGCTTACAACACGCCCGAGTACGAGGGGTTCTCCAGGATGGCAGCTGGGGGGAGCGTGTACGCTAATGACGAGCTCTCGAGGTTCAACTCCAACGGGCACTTTGACCCGTCCTGCAAGCACTGGTTTGGGTGGTTCTTGGACGAAAACGTCGCTTTCCTCCATCCCGACGGGCCTAGGGAGTTCTGCCGGAACTGCACGACGAGCTGGTCTGGGAGCCTGAACGCGTTCGACAGGCCCGATGTCATCCCCGGTCAGACGGCCGACAGCTCGGGGTCTCCGTACTTTGCGGTGAAGATCCCTTACTCGTCGACGGACTTTCTGTACATCTACTACAGATCTTCCTACCCTGAGACGATGAAGGGCGTCTCTGTCCAGTGAGTCTTGCTTGTTTGTTGAGTTTTGGCCTGCGGGTGGAGGGATGGTAGTTGAGAGCAGATCCGTCGTCTTATTGTGAAGGGAGAGAAGACAGGAGGAGGTGGGAGAGCTGAAGGACAGGGAGCGAGGCAGAGGGGAAGGGAGCAGGACCAAGGGAGACGAGAAGGAAGAGGAGGAGACTAGAGAGAGAACAGGACAGGAGAGGTAAAGGGGGAGGAGAGAGGAAGAGGAGGGGACGGCAGGAGAAGAGAGGTGAGAGGATGGGATATTGACTGTGATGTCAGGTATTGCAACCGCAAGTACGTGAGCTACCTTGATGTCGGCATGACGAGCGTCTGCTACACCTACGACGTTGCTGGCGACACTGCCAGCATGGTCGACTCCACCATCGCCCCCGGGACCACCTTCGTGGCCACTCACCCTCCAGCTGCGCTTGACAACGTTCAGCTGGATGTGCTGCAGAAGATCAGGCCGGTGATAGAGGTTCGGTCCGTTCCAGACTACTCGGACTGCACCAACATGATCTGCCCTCCCAACAAGAACATCTCTGCCGCCCTCTCCGTCCGGTTCATGAGCGAGGAGGAGGTGGGAAGGGCGCTCGAGCGGACCAACTTCACCGTCACTCCCGCCAGCCCCTTGCGCGTTGCCAACGCGTCGATCAGCAAGGGGATGCTGGTGCGTGCGAGAGATCTAGCGGGGCCCAAGGGGCAGGGCGTCATAAACATGACCGTCTGCCCCCTTGACAGCAACGGAGTCGAGCTGTACCTCTACGACTCCTTCCCCTTCTCGTCCATTGCGTTCAACGCTCCCCTCGGCTACCAGGCCGTCAATAAGATCTCAGCTAACCGACTCTACTGCTGTGAAGCTGGGAAGGAGCTGAAAGTGTACGGGGCTCAGGTCGTGGTCGTTCGGCAGCTGGACCCTCAGCCCTTGTCCATCGCCGAGCTCGAGATCTACTCCAAGAGCAGCCCAGGGGAGAATCTGGCGATCAAGAACGCCACGTGCTACTCGTTCCCCGTGGGAGGAGGATACTACAACGGCGACAAGTCCACAGGGCAGAACAGAAACATCAACGACGGGGACATCAATACCTACAGTCACTCCACTGGCTCCTCGGTGGGCAGCTACGACCTCTGCATCCTAGAGCGCCCCGTTGACATCGAGAGGATCGTGTTGTCTCCCCGGCAGAGCTGGTGGGGTCGGTCGCAGAATCTCTCAGTGGAGATCTACTCCCTCTACTCGCAGGATCCCAGCGGAGTCGGAGTCACCCCCATACACCTCCTTGCCCGTCACTCCGTCGTCCATGCCGCATCAGCATGGAGCGGGTACTCCTTCCTTCCCAGCCTGCAGCTTCCCGCTACCTACATCTGCGAGATGACGATGAGGATAAGGTTTGAGACGGTCAACGGAGAGGCCTACCTCCTGGTTGCCCCCCAGGAAGCGTCTGTTTCCTTCGCAGCTTCCATGTCCTCTACGGTCTGCCCTACCGACTCGTTCGGTGTCGTTGAGAGCTCGGGCTACTTCGGGTGCAAGTCCTGCCCTCCTACAGCCTTGAGCTTCGTCGACGACATGGCTGTCTGCTCAGGATCCTCTTGCTCCGCTCTCCTGCTTCCCGACATCACCGCATACCTCCCCGGAGCACGCGGCGTCTTCGCTAGAGCTGCTGACCTGTGGCAGGGACGGCCGCAGTACTTCTCCTCCAACGCCACCCTGCGCTGGAATCAGCAGCAGGCGGAGTGGGAGCTGAGAAACATGGCTGACGTCCTTCTCGCCACCAGGAGCTCCTCCCTCCTCGGGCCTCTGCGTGCTAAGGTGCCAACGGCAGGAGCAGGGGACAAGCCGGGCAGCGGCATAACGGCGGTGGCGATAGAGATGGGCAAGGACCAGCAGTACCTCAACCTGTGTGAGATCGAGATCTTCGATGATAGAGGTGTCAATGTCGCCCCGACCCATGCTCGGTGCTTCAACTTTCCCATCGCGAGCTCCTGGTACACGGGCAAGGCAGACGGGTCCGAACCGCTCCTCAACGACGGGTGCGTGCAGGGTCAGACCGCCTGCTCATGCGCTCACTCAGGGGCTCCGGCCAAGGGAAACTTCGTTGCCTGTGTCCTCAACCAGAGCATCGCCGTCTCGCGCGTGCGCGTCTGGAACAACCCCAGCTGGAGCTCACGGTCTTCCCAGCTGAACTTCAAGCTGTTCGACCAGCTGCCGGCAGGAGCCATCACGATGGAGAGCTTCAAGAGCCCAGCTGTCAACCTGGAGCACCTCGACCTCTCGAGCCCGGCATGGCATGACCAGTGGCTGTGCAACTTGAGCATCGACGCTCACAGCGGAGGTGCGGGAACAGCCGATGGCAGCGCCGCGCCATGGCGGCAGAACGCCTACTGGGAGCTCCAGGCGTGCAGGGAGAATCGAACATGGCAGGCGCTGACGCCTCTAATAGAGCAGGACAAGGTAAGAACAGGGGGTATGGGAGGAGCGATGACTGCGGGAAAGGAGGAGGTCTGGACTTGCTTCCACGAGCATGCATGCCTTGAAGCAGCAGGAAAGAGCAGCTCAGATTGGATGTGTTACGTGTACAACGAGGACACTGACGCCTGGATGCCGTGGGATGTCAACTCTGCACTCAAAATCTTTCAATGCAACTGAGAGGAATGAAAATTCCATAGATACAAAATGCGCATGTGTGGCATTGGAAATAATGAAGAAGTTTCTGAAATACGAAATGAACTGCTTCTCGAGAAAGCAAACAGACGTGTTCTTGGCGCAGCTTGCAGCTCTTGGCGTTTTCAAGTCTTCCACCATTCTGAATCAAGACAAAGGAAAGGTTTAGAACGCTTTGTTGTTGCACTCACTTTACATGTCTCATGGATAAGTGAAGAGAAATACTCCTTCGCGTCACTTGTCAAGCAGAATATGAAAGCGCTGCTCGTCGATCCTGTCCCTTTCCGCCATGGCTCTGTATCCGACAGCCGGCCGGTCAAACATGGCAACGGCTCCTGCCATCTCCTCCTCCTCCTGCCCCACCGCGAGGTTCCTGATGGATGCGATCTGGTGGGCAAAGAGGTCCCTGCGGTTCTGGACGTACATCTCAGACACGAGCAGCGCAGAGCGACTGACTTTGCTCGTGTGCTGAGGCCATCGTGACGTGCTCGTCGAGCTCATGGTCTTTGGCCTCTCCGACGACCTCTGCCCTCCAGCCTCCATTCCCCGGTCCTTGTGGAAGGACGCAATGGCGTCGTAGAAGCTGTCATGAACTTCAGATGGCGAGTCGTTGATGACGAGCATGTCTGCTGGGCTATCAGGTCTGCATCGAGCTTCTCGCTGCTTAACTCCTCCTCCTCCTCCTCCTCCTCCTCCTCCTCCTTCTCCCCAGTCCTTGTCACTCCAACCACCCGGCGATGATGCGGGAGGAGCCGCGTACGCGGTCCTGACCCTCCTCTGGTACTGTGCTGTGCTGAGAGCCCTGATCGCCCTGAACCTCCTCACGGGCTCTGTGGTCGGAAGTCTACGAGGGAGGCCGAACATGGCATGCCGGTGGACGATGGCAAAAGACGGGCTCAGGCCGCTGGAACAACCCCATCAGAACTTGTTGTCCGCAGTCAAGAGAGAAGGCCTCACCTGATCGCCTTGTTGTTGCTCGAGCGAACTCGGATCCTGAAGTCCTCTCCTGTTTGAGCATCTACCGGTACAGTGAATGGATAGCTCCCAATGTTGAGGACAGAGGACACCACGTTGAACCGGACCTCGTCTCCCTGTAGGATGTCCACCTGAACGTTCTGCACCACTCCTACCACCTTCCAGGTGATGTTGTAGCACATGCCGGTGGGCCATGCCCATCCCTCCCTTGCAGGAAACGTCAGCCATACTTTCGCAAGGTGGGCTGAGCCAGAGCTCCTTCTATCCGTCCCTCTCCTTTCCTGCCTTTCCACAACTCTGAAGGTGTGCGAGAGCGTTGAAACCTCGGTGCACTTGGGGTCGGCTCCTCTCACTTCAACCCGCAGCCCTTCTTGAGCCGCCACGTCCTCAGGCATCTCGCACACAAACTTCCCAACGTTGGGGGCGGCAGCAGCGAAGACGTGCAGGGCTCCTGAGGACCCGCACAGCCTCACCCCCACATGCTGGATCGGCGACCCCTCAGATTTCCATCGGATCAGGCGGCAGTCGCCCTTGCTCCAGTCGCTCCTAGAGAAGGAGGTGATGGAGATCGAGGAGCGACATTGCTTTCTCATCACGTACGACGACCCCCTCCCCCTCCTCCTGCTCTGCACCAGGGCATCCACTCCATGCTGCTTTGCTCTCGTCGGCTCCCCTGCAGGTTCGAAGGAGTCTATCTCGTGTGGGTTAGCGTTGCTCGGCACGTTTTCTTTCTCATCATCGTCGTCGATGCTTCCTCTGCCTCTGACAGTTGGCATGCGCTGCTCTCGCAGAGACTCCCTAACCATCCCAGAAGCAGCTCGCTTCCTCATCCACCATGTAGCTACCGACGGCAGGGAGGTCACTGGCCGACTGGCAGAGGACGAGCCGTTTGGTTCCTCCAACACGCGCAGAGCCTCTTCAGCAGCTGATCGCAAGATCGCCTCCACCGTGTGCAGCACTGACATCTCCTCCTCTTCTTGCTCTAGTCGCGCATCTGCCATTCCGTTCTCTGAAGGTCCCACCGGCTAGCGGCCGTTAAAAGGCTATACTGTTGACTAAAAACTGAGGAAAGCCGAAAGGAGAGGAATACCCCGACAAACCAGGCCGAGGCTCGCCAACTTGGTCATGATTCTAGCCGGGAAGCCTGAGGAGGAGGCAGCGAAATCCGAGCGCTATACTTAAAACCTTTACTAGGAGAGTCGAGAAGGCTTGGCACCTCGCAGTGTCTCAGCTTCGCTGAGCCACGGTGGGATGAGAGCGGCCGCATACCGAGCGGCGTAGGTTGAAAGGGGAAATACTACGCACGACGCCGATGATAATGATAATGATCAGGCCAGGCCCCGGGCAGTGATCCTGGCACTGATCATTGTCAAACTTGAAAAACACTGTGACATGTCGAGTGACTGTGACATGCTGTAATTACGGATCATGATGCCAGGTATGGCACCGGGCCGGCCGGGGCCCAGGACGGGAGGCCCTGAAGCAAGTTGAGTTGTTGAGTGAAATGTATATAACCTTGAATGATAATGCCGTGCCCTACCCTCAATGGCCCAGTGTGAGTCAGTACCAGGGGTACGGTACCCTAAATGCTCGGACTCGGAGGCTCGGAGAGCAGTGACTTAGCAAGGCTGATCCCGGAGTCCAGTCTGGTGGGGTCTAGTCTTGCGATTCACTATGTGCCGTTCAATGCCATTGCTCTTTACTATGCCATTAGCCTCCCACAGAGGTCGGAGGTGCGGGATCATCGAAGCCCACCCCTCCGTATCCCAGTCCACTTTCAGGACCGATGAGATCCGCTACTTGTCAAGAACACCCGCCGATGACCCACCGTCCGGAGTGCTCACTGAACATCCAGTACCCCTCCACTGATACGATCCACCCCTATCCCAAACTACCACTACCCCCCGGTACCATACTGTGCTTTGCTAAACTATCTTATTTGTACCCACCCTTTGTAGTCCCTTTTTCTTACACTGGGCCTCCCCCACCACCAGTGATCACCCCTACCCCATGCCGAGGATCACCCCACATCCTGCTACATCTACCAATCGCATTGGCAAATGACCGAATGGAGGGGTCCCACATTCGACTAACCCTCTTCTTGGGTGTTTAGACCCCTACTTTTTAGATTTTCCCCCTCATGTGAAGGCTTTCTGCTACCATATCCTTTATTTGTTATACTCATAAACTGTATTCTCACACCATGATCCACTTATCCACACCTAGATATACCCCTACCCCCAATAAAAAACCCTACCCACTTCGGGTTGCCAAGACTACCTCCCCTACCCCTCATTGCGGTTGCCTCTGACATCAAACCTCCTCGGCCATGCATGCTCCGCGTCCCTTGCTTGGCGTCTGGATCCTACTCTGATCTAACCTTGCCTCCCCGCTTCTCCTCCCCTCGTAATCCGCAGAGCATGCCAAGTTTGTCACTGTTTTGTCTTGAGCACACATTTGTCCTCGATTGTTGTTTGTCCTCGATAGTGGTTGTTCGATCGATTTTAGCTGACATGAAATGGTCGTTCGACGGCCTACGCCTTTTCGCTTGCTGGGCTCCCCCCCCGGTTAGAATCAGGATGTTTAATGATTTTAGAAGTTGGAATACCAATATTGTGAGAAGTTTCGAGCTCTGAGCATGACATGCCATGCATAGATGGACTTGAACACCTCCTATGGAAGTGCGAGATCGGCCGAAATCCTGCAGAGATCTGGAAGCCCGATGGATGGAGGTTCACCCCCGACTATGCCACACCAGGTTGCACCCTCCCTCTGATTGTCAGCTCCGTCTCACTGTGTTTCACAGTGGGAAAGGAACACGAGGAGTCTGGTAGACTCCGCAAGGAAAGCCCAGTCCTTGTCTACACAGCAGCGAGTGAGCTCGCTACCCCTGCTGCCGTTGGGCATCTGACCCGTTTCCAGGTCATGTCCTTCGGAACCCAGAGGACCACGGATGAAATCATGCTCAACGACAACAGGCACGGCTCACATGGAATCAGAAGTCATGTTGACGGATTTACCTGACAGGCTCTCTTCATCTGCACTTGAAAAGAACATTAAGGAGGCTGAGGCGCTGAAGGCTCGCGCTGAACGTCAGCTGGAAGCCATACTGAAGGAGACCGTCATGCTTGAAGAAGAGACTTCACGCACTGAAGCTATCCATGAGAAGATGAAGGTTGATTTACTCCTCCAATTGGCTTTCGTCGATTTTCTGAATCTCCCGCAGGATCCTCTTCAGGTTGCCGAAGAGAATATTATCATCAGGAGCAAGAGACCTACACGCGAGCAAACTCGTGATGCCGTAGAGAGATCTTTGAACGAGCAGGTTCGGAATTTCTCAAAAAGTTGTCCTGGAATGCTGAGAGGTGTATCACAGATCGCTGGAGCCAAGCACTCGATTCGCATGCTCGGAGGAGTTCTTGATGCATGCGACAAAGAGCTGGCCAGGTTGAAAGTTTGCCGTGAGAAGCTTGAGGAAGACATCGACCAGAAGCGCATTGCTCTCGAGGTAACGCTCTGACCATGTGATTGCTCGGCTGATGTGCACTCGTCCTGCAGGTTGACAACGAAGCTCTTCGCATGGAGTCAGGTTGGGCTGCGAACATCCAGTCCAAGAGGTCGCCATCGGCTTCTCTTCCACACATGTGGCGTCAGAGGACGGAGAACCTGTGTGAAGAGTGTGAGCGTACCAGGGCCACGTGCGAGGTCAGACCACCTCGCGCTAGGGCTGATGCAGCACTGAGCAAAGTACGCAGAGGCTGAGAGCAAAGAGCAAAGCCATCCAAGAAGAGGCTCTCAACGTGGAGCGAGAGACTAGGGAGGCTGTTCTGCGAAACTTCGCGCGCAAGATGGAGGAGACTGATCGCCTCAAGGTCGGTGCCTCCTCCCCGAATCGTTTCGGCTCTGATGAGGATGAGGACAGTCAGAGCTCGAGGCATCGATTGCCAACGTCTCGAACGAGATCATCACCATGGAAGACGCTAGGGCCTCGGTGGAGCAAAGCATGAACGATAAGCACGGGCCTTTGGCGCTTGCTAAGTCAAGGCTCAGGTGAGTGACTGTGAACGGGGTGAGCGATGCTGCAGCTGACGCGTTGGTCATGCAGCTTCCGAACCAGCAAGCCCGGCAACGAGATCGTGAGAGACGCTGCCGAGAGATCGCTCGAGAAGGAGATCGGCGATCTCGAACACTCCATCCGAAGGCTGCAGTTGGAGATGGCGCGCCAGACTGCTGACATCCACGTACTTGCTCTCTGCACTTGATAGCTGAGCGAGTCCTCACTTGAGAATGTTTCAGCGTCTGGAGCAGACAAGAGCTCGTCTCGAATCAGACTTGAAGGATAAGATGGACGCTCTCGCGCTGGAGCAGGTGTGTTCCCCCCATCCCCCCCTTCCGTACCATCTCCCCTCATTCCCTCCTCTATCCTCCCTGTTGTCCATTCTGTTTGCACGTCTGAAGGCCTCTGCAGGAATGCGAAGCTTTGCAGATGGACCTGAGCGCTCGGATGAAGTAGATGATCATGCATGTTATTGTATGGTCTTGTATCGCTTCAAGCCTGCTGCGTCTTGAAACAAGTTTTGCTGTGAATTCTACTGCTGAGATCGGGAGAACAAAGCTGCACCTCGTTATTTTTCAAGGCACACAGCGACGAGATGGGAAATACGTCGGTCGTGCCTTTGCACCGTCATGCAGCAGATGCTGCGGAGTTTTCATTTTCAAGCCAAGTACATCAAAACAACAAGCATGGCTTTTCCTCCCTGAACAGTTGCCGTCTCGGTCTTCATCCTAGCTGCAGCCTGTTCGTGTTGACCTCTTAGCAATCTTTCTATACTCTTGCCTTGCTCCCGAACACTTCGTGTCTCTGCTCACTCCACCTCCCCGTACGCCCCTCTTGTCCTCACGATCTTTTTGTCTCTTGCTCTCCCTTCCTTGTTCTGCGTCTGCTTCTGCGTCTTCTTCTTCTTCTTCGTCTACTGCTGCTGCTGCTGCTGCTGCTGCTGCTGCTCCCTTCTGGTTATCGATCTGTTCCCATGTTCTCCATTGAAATGAACACCACCGGTACTTCCCGTAAAGGGGTACTTTTTACCATGAGAATATAGTGTTTGGTGGGTAGGGTCTTGTTTTGGAATGGGTGGGGGTATTTATCACGAAGCAAAGACGGTCGGTATGAGGGTCAGCCGGGGTGACCAATGAGCGGCATGCGCAAGCTGTCGAGCTTCTCGGCGACAGAGATCGCCAGGTGAGCGAAGAAGATGGCGGAGTAAGAGTAGGAGAGTGAGACAATGGTGAAGTATGATGATGGTGGTGGAGATGGTGGTGGAGATGATGATGGAGATGATGATGGAGATGAGGATGGAGATGAGGATGGAGATGGAGATGATGATGATGATGGAGATGATGATGATGATGGAGATGGAGATGGAGATGATGATGATGATGGTAGTGGAGAAGGTGATGATGATGGAGACGGAGAAAGGTGGTGGTAGTGGAGAAGGTGAAGATGATCCTCACGGAGCAACACGAGAACATGAAATGCAGGCAGAGGAGGTTATGGAGATGAAAGTATAGTAGGAGCAGGATGATCAGGAGAAGCAGCAGCAGCAGAAGCAAGAAAACATGTACATGATGATGAAGGAGGAGGAGGAATAGGAGAGAATGATGATTGCATCGTCGAAGGAGGATTAATGGGGGACGCAATTGAAAACCGAAGATGAATTTTGCAGCATTGAAAGAGCAGATGATAATTGTGCAGTAGTTGGTGAATGCTGGTGTTGTTGTTGTGGATGATGAAGACGATGAGAATGACTTCGAAGTCGGAGATGGAAGTGGATTTTGACAAAGACTTGAATGTAGTATAGGATAATGGAAATCAAGCAAAACTGCGGGGATGAGGAAAGGCGAGGAACTCAGATTGAGGTTGTGAAGTAGGGAAGGAGTGGGTCAAGGGGACTGTAACAGAAAGTATGACACTTGAAGGATTGGAGGTTGATACCGAAGAGGATCGGCAAGAATTGCCGATCCAGATAATCTCCATGCTAGTTTAGGGAGGATTCGCAGCAAATCTGTTCTGATCGAGGTGGAGACTATTCTAAAAAACAGGAAAGAGGAAGGAAGCAAGCCCTAGAATGTGATAGGATGTTAGAAATTACCTTAGGATCTGAGACGGCGAGATCGGACCATCATGGTCAGAGGAGGAAGCTGTAGCAGGCAGGTAGCAGGAAGGGACGATCAGGACTCTCTTCATGTCAAACGCATTATTTGCTCAGGTTTAGCATAGGAAAGAGTGCTTCTGTTGCATTGATGTGTGAATCTTGATATTGTTTTGATCCTGTTGCGTGAACACGAAATGCGCGAGGATCCATTCCTGATGTCTCGTCTGCCAACCAGCAACGAGTTCCGCGACGCGCTGAACGCCACCGTGGACATGCTCTGCAGAGCTATCCAACAGCAGGTTGACAGTTCCATCCACCTCTGCACTGACTGCTGCTGACTTGTGCGCTGGCGTGCAGAGCGTGCAAATCAAGGAGTTGAAGAGCAGGATAGAGGAGCTGGAGAAGAAGGAGACTAAGAATGCAGGAGCCCGGCAACAGGTGCGGGTGATGCCTGCCCGTTGGTGAGCTGATCAGCTCTCCTTGTCAGGAATGGCAGTCTTTCCAATGGCTGTTCGATACTGTCTCATCTGACGACGAGGACACGGATAGCGCCATGAAGGTGACTTTGCGCTGACGGACGCAGCCCTCTGATCCTCGTGCTAGGGGAAGAAGAGAAAGCGCAAGAGTGGGGGCAAGGGAGCGTCCTTCAGCGATGATGGGGAGGTGAGGATCTGAACCTCTGTTGGAACGTGAGCATGATCGCTCCTGCAGGAGGACGCGGCTGAGGGGGAGGATACCGATGATGCTGACGACGGCAACCCCCAGTCAGCAGGTGACCTTGACTAACGAGCTCCTCCGTTGGATGACGTTGTGGTTTGGATCCGCAACAGGGAAGATGAAGAAGCTCAAGAAGGACCCAGCGGTCGCTCATCCCTGTTGTGTGCTAACAAGTCGGAACTGATTTCATCCGCAGCCCAAGATCACTTCACCAACAGGTGCTGCCAAGGTACCAGGACAGTGAGAGCCATGTCCCAATCCGAGGACAACATCCTGGTCTCTTTCCCAAAGATGAGGAGAGGAGACTTTTCATGCGCAGTTGGCATGCGGAAGGGAATCGTAATGCTTTCGCCATTCTGAAATGACTGCGAGGAATGGGTGCGGGGATGGGAGGGGGAACGCTGGATGTCGGAGAGTTTCGCAAGAATGATGGTATGAGGAGACTTTGAAGATGATCAGGCTCTGGGATGCACCTCAAAGGTGGCATGCAACTGCTCGATGGACATCATCTTGCATTCAGGCTATCCCTGACTTACGAGTTTTTCGATGCTGTTATCGTTTTTTACTTTGCGGAAGTAAAACTCAACTAACTAAGTCTTGACCACTTCATACCCATAAAACCAGGCAGTATAAATGATCGAAAATCGTACAGTTCCATTTCTGAGATCCCAACCAAGACTTGTTCACTTACTTTGACTTCTTCACCTTAACAACTTTTCCATCAAGGCCGGTTGACGTTATGAGATGATTGCGCTCATGTTCAGTCGACAATGATCGCATCACACTCATTGTTTGCACCCATTTCACATCATATCCTTCTTCACCCTGTACTCCTCCTCCTCCTCCTCCTCCTCCTCCTCCTCTTTCCTGCCTTCCCCCTCCTGGTCCGGGTTTAACATATATATATTTATATATTTAATATGTAGTTTTACCTCAATCGCCAGGTTTTATGAGGTCACGGGTGGGGTCTGCGTCAGGGGTAATGGTACTGAAAACAAGGGGTAGTCAAAGGGAATGCCGTCCAGATTCGTAACGGCCTTTTCAAAACATTTTTGGGGGATATATAGATATTTGAACTTTCAAAAAAGTTATTTAAATATCGGAAAACTTTATTTTTCGATTATATAAATTATAAGATTCAAATCATCATGGAAAGCACATCGTTCCAACCCAAATCATGACTAAAACTATTTTAAAAATTCTGCCAGAGGAGGGGGAAGTGGGGATTGAGGGGCAAGTGTAGCCAGAGGTGTAGGGGCCAGGGCTGGGTCGATTCTATTAGGAGCTCAATTGATACTTCTCTTACCATGGAGGGATCAAATTGAGAATGGGAGAAGGGAAGGAGGGACGATCGACGAGCGAAACGAATGTCTCATGGGGGATGCGGAATTAGCAGACAAGAAACGATGGGGAATGGGATGGAAGAGGGAGAGGAGAGAGGAGAGGAGCGATGCAGAGTAGAGTGGAGTGGAGGGATGGACGGTCGGGAGTGGAAAGAACGTGAGGGAGGAACAGGGGATGGAAGAAAGCAAGAAATAGGGTGGAGAGAGGACGGGCGGGAAAGGGGAAGCTTGAGACGAGGGAGTGAAGTAACCAGGGAAAGGAATCAGACAAAGGAGATGCGGAAGTAAGGAGAGCATCATGGGGTCTGACGTTGAGCTGTCGACTGATAGACTTGAAGAAGCAAGGAGTTGGGGGAGACCAAGTTTATGTGATAGACATAGCTGCGAGAGGTTTCTGCGTTCCTGTCCGAGCTCGTTCTTCCTATAGCCTATCCTTGCTTACATCCTCCTTACCATTATCTCCTCCTCCTCCTCCTCCTTTTCCTTGCTCTGTGTCATTTCTCCTCTGCGCTGTAGTTGCTAAGCCCACTGCCCCCACCCGCCTCGAGCTCCTTCTCACCGCACATCAAATCACCCCAGAGACGCCTCATGGCTGAGCATGGGGAGTGATCCTATGCTCGTGTGACCAGCGGGCAGAACCAGCCCGCTCGTCCTGACGCAAGCACATGACACTAGTGATGCAGGTCTGCCCAGCGGTTTTCACCCCCTCCTGACTCTCAAGCCTCCTGTACTCGAGGGAGTTTGGTTTCAGTTGCAGCAAGACAGTTTGATTTCAGTTGCAGCAAGACAGTTCCCTGCGGCCCGCAGGATTCCATGCCATTGCCGCGCAGAAAAGCAAAGTCGCCTTACAAACCATCGGAGAAACTGCGGGAGAGCATGGAGACACAGGCGATCATTCAGAGCAAGGGCAAGTCAAAGGGAGCTCCTTCGAGGGGAGGGAAGAAGGAAGCTGTTCCCAAGAGCCCCAAGGGAGGAGGCTCGTCGTCGAAGAAAGACCTGACGCCTCCTAAGAAGCAGGCCCCGAAGAGGGCAGGGAAGAGTAAGGGGTCCCCTGGCAGCAAGGATGATGGGAAGAACAAGAAGTCTTCGAGCTCTTCCAAGAAGAGAAAGGCGCCGGAGGATGAGGTGGCGACACCATGCGCTCGCTCGATCGTTCTGAATGTCATGTGTTACAGGAAGAAGAGGAAGAAGAGGACGAGGACGAGGAGGATGGGGAAGAGGAGGGAGAGGAGAGCGAGGAAGAGGGAGAAGGGGAGGAGGAAGAGGAGGAGGAGGAGGAGGAGGAGGAGGAGGGGGAAGAGGAAGAGGAAGAGGAAGAGGAGGAGAAAAAAGTATCAAACAACACCAAGAAGAAGGAATCAAAATCCGGCAAGCCCGGGAAAGAGATAAGTCCTAACTCGCGAGGCTCAAAACCGCCAGCGAAGCAGAGCAAGAAGAAGGAAGGAGCGGAGAAAGCAGAAAAAAACAAGAAAGCCTCCAACGATGCGGCGGAGAGTTCGAAATCCAAAAAGAAAACTCAAACGGAGGAGAAAGGTGAAACATTTGATGTTTATAGTTCGCCACTTTTGTCTCTTTCCTTGTGCCACCTCCATTCGCACTGATTTGCCGAATCTTTTGTTGAGCTTGTTGGTTCTAAACGAGCGTTCCTTTTACATCTCGATGTGTCTCCCTGACATGGCTCATGACCCATAATGCAGGCGATAAAGAAAAAGCGTCGAAACCTTCCAACAAGAAGAGGAGAACTAAGGCAACAGGTGATGCCTTGGCAGGATTCGATTCTGCCGAAATGATTGAGAGTCAGATGACAATGAAGATCAAGAGTCGGGAAAGAAATCCAGCAGCAACCATGTCACTTGTGCTTTCGGCACGATGAAGATGTTTGATCATGATGCAGGCGGCTGATCTGCAGCAGCAAGTAGCGCTGCCTCAAGCTCCAGCTACTGCTGGAGGAAACCCTGTGGTGGGAGTGAACTCAGGTGAGAGGGAGGAGCGTCTGTGCAGCGAAAGGAATGTTGACGATGCTGCCAGGAAACAATCAAGATGCAAGAGACCCGAGGATGACAGCGCTGCTGGAGATGCAACTGCAGAAGAGCAAGAATGTGATAGACAGACATAATCGTCGACTGGTGGTGGTGGTGGTGGAGATGATGATGATAGAGATGGAGATGGAGATGATGATGGTGGAGATGATAATGATAATGATGATGATGATGATGGAGATGATGGTGACGATGACAATTGAGGTGGCAGTTGATACGACGATGGATGATGCAGGGTTGATGTGTAAATGTTGGATGTTTGCTTGCTAGGTGTAGTTGTTGATGATGTAGATGCCTCTAATGTAGAGGATGATGAACATGTTAGTGATGGACATGACGATGAGGCACGACATCGGTGGTTAATGAGTTTTCTGAGCAAATTTTCTCTTTCAGCAAGTGGATGCAAAGAACGCAGCAGCCCCGCAGCCACAGAATGCAGCTTCTGACGGGAAAGTAAGGACCTGACCCCAATCTTTGCATCAATCACTGAAGTGGGCAGCAGGAGAAGCAGGAGAAGGCCAAGAAACAGAGCAAGGGTGCTTCTGCCAAGGGTGAGGAGGGCGTTCTTGCTCCTTTGCCAGCCTCATCGTCGTTCACTGTAGGTGGAAGCAAGTCGGATGAATCGAAAGAAGGAAAGAGCAAAAAGTCAAAGTCAAAGAAGGTGACAGAAACCTGACCCTTTGCTCTTCTCTCTCTCTCTCTCTCTCTCTCTCTCTCTCTCTCTCTCTCTCTCTCTCTCTCTCTCTCTCTCTCTCTCTCTCTCGTTTTCTCTCCTTCCCCGGACCTTGCCCTTCATTCTTCTCCCATCCTCCTTCGTTCGGCTTGAACTCCCCTCCCCTCCCCTCCCTACCCCTCCCCTCTGCCCTCTCTTCCTCAAACTTGTTTCTTTATCCCCTGTCTCCTCCGCTCGCCTCTCCTCTCCGTCCTCTCCTCCCCTCCGTCCCTCTCGCGTTCTCACGCCAGCTGTCAGGCGAAGGAGGAAGAGCCCGCGACATCGCAGCCACCAGCAGCTCTGCCGCCTCAAACTCCTCAAACGTCGCTGCCGCCTCAGCCGACTTTCTCCACGCCGATGCAGCAGCTGTCCACTCCCATGCCCACCATGCAGACCAACTTGCAGCCATCCATGCAGACCCAGCAGCAGGTCTCGTCCCACCCCTGCAGCTCCTCCCTGCTGCTCGCTTGCGGGATCCTTTCCTTATCTCATCGTTCCATCACTATCCCTGTTTCTCCCTTTCATTTCCTTGGCCCTGTCGATCCCTCTGATCGTTTGCTCATGTGTCCCCACCTTCTCTCCCTCCTCTTCCTGTTCTGTCCCTTGCTCTACATCTTGCTCTCCCTTCTCCTCCTCCCTCTGTCTGTCTGTCTCTCTATCTCTGTCTGTCTGTCTGTCTGTCTGTCTGTCTGTCTGTCTGTCTGTCTGTCTAAAGTTGCCTTCCAGACGGTCGCGAGCATCAACCAGCAGGCGGAACTGGCCATTCAGAATCTGCAGCAGCAGTTCTTCCAGGTTTAAAGTTGCGCCAACTTGTCTCTCCTGCTGACATCCTTGATGTACAGGAGCAGCGCAAGCTGGACCACTCCTTGCAAACTTTGCAGTGCTCGTCACAGGTGTACAGTGAAGCTTCACGAGACCTCGTGGGCCACCTTGACATGGTTGCTTGCTATTGCAGGATTACCAGAATCATTCCCAGCAGCTCCATCAGCAGTACTGCATGCAGATGATTGTGATGTTTGTTTTGCTTGAAAAGGCTAGTCTGACCTTCCCCCTCCCCTCCAACTCCTCCCCTGTAGATGCTGCAGCAGCAGATTCAACAGCAGACCTCAATGGCGACGCAGCTTCCGGGCAACCAGATGTCGAACAACTCTCTCTCGGTATTGTCGGAGATGGTCTGCCGCTTCCACGCGTCTGACTCCTCCATCGCAGATGTCAAGTGCATTGCAAGGAGCTTCACAGGTGCTGTCACGTAGAGAGTCGAGCTACCTGCCTGCCTGCCTCTCCTCCCTCCCCCTTCCCACCTCCCTCACTTCCTCCGTACTGTTCTCTTCTTCATTGATCTGTCTGGCTGATTGTTCGATTCCCTTCAGAGTGAACGACAGGCGATGATGTTGCAGTACGCGCAGCAGGTAACACGAGATGAGCCCTAGTTGTCTTGTCTTGTTCATGTCCCGTTGCTCCTGCATCCTGCCTTGCTCCCTGCTCCCTGCTCCCCCGCTCTCTGCCCCCTTGCTATTTGCTATCCTGCTCTTGCTCGTGGTTTCCCATGGCTGCTGCTACTTGCTTCCACTTATCCATCAATGAAGAAGCCCTCGTTCTCTTATCAATGTTCTCATCCATTCCTCTCAGATGCAGCAGAAGCACATGCAGGAGCAGATGCAACTTCAACATGCATGCCAGGTCAGTGCCGATGTTGCAGCTGATGGACATGACGCTGGCCATGATTGAGATGATGATGGTATTGGTGGAGGAATAACTCGCAAGGTGGATGTCATGTCAGCTGAAGCAGTCATGCAGCAACAGGGCTACACACCGCAGCAGCAACAGCATTACATGCAGCAGGTAGCATCCTCCCTCCTCCCCCCCCCTTGTGCTAACATGGCAACAGCTCCAGAGCCAGCAAGCCCAAGAGACTCAGATGTTGCAGCAGCAGATGCAGGCGATGCAGCAGCAGCAGAACCAGATGGTATGCCTGATGCCGACCCCCCTCCTCCTGCTCCCTCTCACTTTCTCCACTCCAGTCTTATCCACAGCAATCATCGTTCGCCAACAACCAGCTTCCGGTACCCATCGCCTGCTCCATGCCTTTCCCCCTGCCTGCCTGCCTGCCTGCCTGCCTGCCTGCCTGCCTGCCTCCCTACCTTCAAGTCTCCTCTTCCTGACTCGTATTCTTGCAGATGTCAAGCCTCGCCATGCAGCAGCCTGTGTCCACCTCCTTCACAGCTGCCCCGCAGCCCAGCGTGCAGCCTCAGCTGATGTCACCTGCTCCCACCGCTCAACCCCAGCAGCAGCTCCAGCAGTCCCCCCAGCTGCAGTCGTACCCTCCGATCATGAACTCCCTCCAGCAGCCCCAGCAGAACCAGGTCGTCTCTTCCCCGTTCCAGCCCCAGCAGAACCAGCCCAACCCCTCCCAGCAGAACCAGCCCACCCCCTCCCAGCAGAGCTTCCAGCAGCAGCTCTTCTCTGCTGGGCCTCAGCTCGGGTCTCAGCCGCTGGGCTCCAACCTCCAGCTGCCCTCCAGCCAGACGATGAGTGGCCAGCAGAGCTTCCAGCAGCAGCCGACCTCCATAGCCCAGTCGGGGACACTACAGTCGGCCCCTCAGCAACAGGTGAGGAGGAGGGGGAGGCTGGGAAGGCTGGGGAGGCTGGGGAGGAGGAGGAGGAAGAGGATCAGTGTGGATGATTTTTGTCTCAGGCTCAGGATGCGATGTCACAGCTGGATCAAGCTCACTTCGAGCAGCAGCAAATTCTTCTGGAGGTATTGTTCTGCTTCCATCACTTGCTCGATCGCCTCTCCTCCCCTCTCCCCTCCTTTCTCCTTTTCTCTCTCCTCCCGTCTCTCTCCTCTTCTCTCTCCTCTTCTCTCTCCTCTTCTCTCTCCTCTCCTCTCTCCTCTGCTCTTTCCTTGTCTTCTTCCCCCCTTTCGAATCTGTCTCCTCATCTTGTTCTTCTCTTCCTCCACTGTCTTGCTGATTCCTCTCTTCTACTTCCTCCTTCCAGCAACAAAGTTTGGAACTCCAGCGTCTCCAGGACTTTGTCCAGCAGCAGCCGCAGCAGAACCAACAATTGGCGATGCAACAATACCAACACCAGGTCAGTCTTTTCTGTGCACCCCCCCTTCCACCTTCCCCCTCCCCTTCTCCCCTTTGTCCTCCTCCTCCTCGTGATCCTCGTCGTCGTTCTCACTCTCATCCCTGTCCCCACTCCTTTCTCCTTGTTGCTCTTGACCGCTCCTCTTGTTCACTATCTTGCTCTCCCTCGTCCACTTCCTCTCCCTGACGAGGCTGTCCAGCGGGTCATGCTCGTGCATCAGCATGAGCAGCAGAAGCAGCAGCTGCTGGCACAGCAGCGGCAACAGACGCAACAGCTGCAGTATCACCTGTCGCAGATGCAACAGGTACTCATCTCCTCTCCTCTCCTCTCCTCTCCTCTCCTCTCCTCTCCTCTCCTCTCCTCTCCTCTCCTCTCCCTTCTCGTCTTCTCCCCTCTCAATCTCCCATCTTCGTCTGAAGATTGATTTCTTGGTATCCAGAACTCAAATCAGCAGCAACAGTTTCCTCAGCAGCAATCCATGGTCCTCCTCCCCCCTTCCTTTCTGTGCTGAACTTCCCTATGCATCCGTAACCCCCCCCCTCCCCATCCCTCCAATTATACCTCGCTACCTCTCTTCCTTTCGAAACAACTCGCTCCTCCACCACCTCAACCACCACCACCACCTCCTCCTCCTCCTCCTCTTCACTGACTGCTCAAAGGCGCAGATGCTCCAAGACAGCAAACCCGCCGGAGCTTCGTCCTCTCAGCCTGCGCCTGCAGAGAAAGACGCCTCCTCCAAGGGCAAGGAGAAGAAACCCCGCAAGTCCAGGGCGAAGAAGGAGGGGGATGCGGCAGCCAACGGGGAGGCTGGTGGGACGCCGGCCAAGGCCAAGAAACCGCGAGCAAAGAAGGCTGACAAGGGAGAGGGCAAGGAGTCCGAGGCTGCTCAGCAAGACAAGTCTACTCCCTCTGTGCTAGTTCCTCCTCCTCCTGCCTCCGCGCCGGAAGCAGATCCTGCTGCCGCTACCGCTGCTGCGCTGCCATCGAAGACGAGCGAGTCTCTAGCCCCCCAGTCGGGGGCTGCTGCTGCTACTCAACTTGCTGTCGCGCCCTCGGATGCTTCCAAAGCCCCTCCAGCAGATGTCACTGCCGGCCCCGGAGCTGCCGGACAGGATGCAACAGGAGGCGAGAAGTCCCAGACGATCACAAGTCAGGTACTGGAGGATGAGATGTGCGAGCAAGGGAGGGGAGGTGACGGAGGGAAGGGAGGGAGGGAGGGCGGGGGAGACAGCGGAGAGGAGGCAATCTTAGTGGATTGATTGCATGCGCAGACATGAGGAACGGAGTCTGCTGGACAGCGGTGAAATGAACTCAACTCAATTCAACTGAATGAATGAAGACATGAATAACTTTTCCATCAATCTTAGAGCTGCGGCGGGAGGAAATTCTTTCAACCCGAAGGAAAAGTGAATTTTTTTTTTGTAAATTCTCTCTTTAATTTTGGAGGACTGCTGGTGTGGAAATCTTGTAGTTTGTGAATCGTGTTGAGAATTTAGATGGGCTGGTCTTTAGGTTCCATGCTGCCTTCACCGCCTACTTCACTTGCAAGACTCGATGGCATGCTTCATGCTCTCCGCGATGTACTTGACGTTTCCTAATCCATGTATCAGTAGAAACTTTAACAAAACAGCGAGTAAATGGTAGAGGTCGTTTCCATGACAGTGAGGCAGCAAAGTTGGACAACTGTGCAATGCTCAGGACAGACCTGGGTTGACTCCTGCCATGGAGAACCGCCCGTTCTTGGTACCTGCGAGGTTGAGAATGAGAGGTGGAAGAACAGAGATCGTTATGTACAGTAGATGTGATGCTCTTGTGTCAGAACAGCGCACTGCTGCGCACTGAGCCCCGTGTAGGCGAACATTCCAATCTAAGTGGAGAGATAAGCATGATGTTTGAGTATCAACCAATCCACTCGTTATGTCCAGCTGCTGCCCACCTGTTTGACGATGTGGTTCCAGCTCGAGAACTTCTCGTTGGGGAACGGACATTGGCATGCCGTCAACTCTCGGACAAGAGCCTATTGATAGTCAGTAGCCCGCAACCATGTAGGGGAGATGTTAGGAGAGAGGACGGGAGCGAGTGGAAGAGCACTAGGTGGGATGGAAGCAAGGATGCAAGGGAGGGAAGAGGAAAGAAGGAAGAGGGAGGGAGCGAGGATCATTACAGATCGCATCTCAGTGATTCTCTGCGACATCTGCTTGAGCTCAACTTTCCATAGGTCCTTGAGCTGTTGACTGTGTCACTCTAGTAGATCTAGTTGCAACCTCCTCCCATTTCACCTTGTTATCCGAGAGAACGGTCGAGACAAGCCTTGCGCCATGGAGCTGCAACCGCCATCAGTCATGCAGGCAGGGTTTGCTATAGAGATGACCTGCGGACTGGAATACATCGGTCGAATCACTCCTTTGAGTTGTGACTGGACCTGTTGAACCAGGTCATGCCTCAAAGGAAGAGTCAAACCACACCATGTTCGCTGCTCAAGGTGTGGTAGTACCTTGACGGCCGTTTCAGCGTCGTTGCAAAGAACGTTGAGGGCACCGATTCTCTCTCCGTACAGTCCGAAGTTCTTAGAGTATGATCTGCCCAAGAACTCACCCGAGCGACGTGGATGAGGGAGGTCGCAGAAAACGTCAGCACTCACTGGGTCACGAAGAGTTCCATCTTCATCTCATGAGCAAAGTACTTCACGGCCCACGCGTCGCTCTCGAGATCTCCAGTAGCATAGCCCTAGAGACAAGACAAGAAGCATTCAGCAAAAATCACTCGAAATCGGGCGTCAGACGTTCACGTGTGCAACCAGACGTACCTGATAAGCTGTGTCGAAGATGATGATATGTTCCTTCTCCTGGCAAACCTTATTGTTCAAGTGTCAGGCGATGGAAAGGCAGATGGAGTCATCGGCACCTTGGCAATTTCCTTCCACTGATCATGCGAAAGATCGACACCCGTCGGGTTGTGGGCAATGGTGTGGAAGATGAAGATCGAGCCCTTGAGCGACATGTCAACACGCAGACACCAACATCATGCGCGCAAGTTGAAACCTTGGGTGCAGCTTGCACGTCCGACTTCATCCCATCAAAGTCAAGACTCATGTCTGGGCTCAGATACTTGTACGTCTTTGTCTGAAACCCCTCGGGTCAAACCTCTGTGACTGAAGTCGAGGGCAACTCACCTGTAGACCCGCTTTCTTGAAGATGGTGTGATGGTTTCCCCACGAAGGGTCACTGCAACATGCCGTCACACATCATCATCGGCTCCATCTATGCGCCATGCCTGATGTATGCGGTCGCTGTAGGATAGTACAGAGCGATGAACTCAGCAGCCAGTCGCAATGCGCCTGTCATTCATCCATCAGGCGACCAGCGACCCGCTCGCAGGGAGTACCTGTCCCCGAGAGACTCTGTACCACCGCCACCCTCTGTTCCTTGATCGCAGGCGATTCATCGCCAAAGATGATCTTGGAGGTCTGAGACAGGAAACTCTCGAGCCCCTACAGTAGAAACAGGGTTGCAAGAGAAATCCGATGTCAGCAGGCAAGCAAGGATCAGATCTCCAATGCACCTGAATGGGCAAGTACTCCTTGTTCATGCTCTCATCATTCGCAATCTTCCTCTCAGCCTCCCTCACACACTTTAGCACAAGAGGCTTCCCATTGTCGTCTCTGTACGCCCCGATCCCCAAGTTCACTTTCTTCGGGGATGGATCCTTGTTGTATTCCACAGCCACCCCGAGGATAGGGTCAGGAGGAGCCATCTCTACCTTGGACCACATGGACCCTGCATGCACCATCTGCATGCCGAGCACGAGCAGGAGGCAAGCGCGCGCCATGGCCGCCATGACTGTAGCGCTTGCGGACATCCCTGACTGGTCGTAGTAGGGGATTCCAGTTACAAAAAGTAAATTATAAAAATTGGTACTGGCGGAGCTCGTACTTTTCATATCTGTACTTAAAGAAATCTCAATAGTACTGTTTGTTGGCGCCTCAGTACTGATACGTATCCCTATCTGTGAACATGTTTAAAATTCATATAGTTATTCTTATATAATTAATACCCATGATATAAATAATACTCATGATTGTATGAACTTATATAATTTAAAAATGATTATTTTATTTCATGTGATTTAAATCACTACTATTTTCCCATCGATTATGTACCAATTACTTAAAACCTTTTTAAATACTACCAGGTCTGCAGAAGGGGGTTGTAGCCGTGGGTGATTTTTTTATCCTCTCACAACAGGGGTGGCCAGAGTCTTGCGAATATCTGGGGGTAGGGATGATGTGTTGTTTCATATTTCCAGGAGGGTTGTATCATACATGGTGTACTTGAGATGGACTACTGAACTCTGCGAAATTCTCTCATAAGATTTTGAAAATAAGACCAGATGGTTTTGTTTTACCTCCGTCTTACTTTGTTTGTTCCCTCCCGCTCTGAGCTTTTCCGGATCCAGGAATCCCTATGTGGTAATTTATCCTCTTGCACCCCAACAATGCGACCCTTGGTGCTGACTATACCTTCTACCCACCCCTGCCTCCAGAAAAAATGACCCACACCCCACCCCACACATCGTCCTGCTCAATTCCTACCCCCTGGTAGATCCACCTCCGTCTGATGGACCCCACGTCATTGCAGACGCGTTGCCATAATATTTCGATTTATTGAACATTTTCCTTGAAATATTCAAATTGAATAAAGGAAATAATTGTGATTGAGTAAATATGCCCTTCAATAAATCATAGTTTACCCCACCCTACCCCATCTGATAGTTCAATTTCCTTTACAGCCAGCCAGTCGCACTAAATCGTGGTCGACTTGATAATACTTGTTGACCCCCACCCCCCTGGAACTTGTCCTAAAAAGGGGGTAATTGATATAGGGTCTACATCACTTTATTATCGTATACTGCTCTAATATCAGAAGCTATAGTCTTGGATCTCTCCCTGAGACACCCACAACCCCACAACCCCTTTGAACTGGATACAGAGGTGTACCCTTCCTTGATTCACCCTATTCATCCCTCTATTTGTACCGGTGCTCGCAGCTGCGCCCTGAAATTCAGATACACCCCACCCACTCAAGATGAATAACCCCTACCCCGTTTGCTCTTCAATCTCAGATACGATAGGTAATAATGGCACCACCCCATTGTTTCCCAGGGAGAGCCTTGAGTACCCCACCTCTAACTTATCCGTGATACGACCCTACCCAGACTCGAATCCCAGACTCGAATCCCACCCCACCCCGAGCCTGTCGATCTCTACATCCCCAAAACCACTGTCCGCCTCCGCCTTGTCGCTTCCGCCGCAATGCAGGGATCCTTCCGTTGTTCCCCGGCAGCAGCAGCAGCGCTCGTGGCGTTGATGGGCATGGCCCTCGATGCTGCTGCATCCACTACTCCCTCCCGTCTCTCTCAACCACATGTGCTTCGTATGCGTGGAGGAGACATCACCGAAGGTGTTGCCGCCTACGGCCATCCTGCTGCTCCGCAGAAGCGCAAGGGCGCGTTCAACATTGCGGTGAGCCATCCTCTCACCTTTCTGCATGGTGGAATGTTCATGTATCGTCTCTGATCTCGCCTGAGAGGAGGAGAGAGAGGAGGGGAGAGAGAAAGGTGGTGCCAGAAAAGTATGGGAGGGAGGGAGGAAGATTTAGTAGAGGTGTGAGTACATTCGTTTCCCTGATTATTCCTCTCGTTCAACAGAGAGTAATGTCGCAAGGCTTCATCGATGCGAACTCTGATGCGCCAACCAAGAAGACTGATGCTCAGCGTGCCGATCCAGAGTCCATGAAGAGCAAGAAGATGCATTCAATCGGAGTGTCTAACGACATGAAGTCTGGTCAAGATGATGTGAGTCTCCAATCACAAAGTCTTCCCTTCTGACTCCGACTCGTAGGACTTGTCCAAGGATCCGTTGATGACCGCTTACGTGAACTTGAAGCTTGCCGCCTGTGGCTCTGCTCCCGTTGAATCGTCCTCTAAGGAAGAAGGGTTCCTGAGGCTTGTAGAACCCATTTTGAAAGCGTATCAAGAGCAGCAGCACGTACTCATCAACCAAGGGAGGTCCTTGTGCCCAGCCGATCAGCGTATTCAAGACTGGCTGGATGACTTCCTGTCTGACGTAGGTGGCTCGCCAAGACTGCCTGTCAGACAGCTTAAACTGGATCGCCATGGCTTGACTCGTATTCTCTCATTGCCAAAGGGGGAGGATATCTACCAGAACGAGTACATCACTTCATACAGACTTGCACAAGGAGTTGTTCACAATCCCAAGAGCGACAAGCGAACGACCAAAGGTGTTTTCCATGTTGTCGAGGGTGGACTCCCTATTTCGGGTGACAAAAAGGTGAGCCGTTACAAAGTGAGACTTCAGGACGCTGATGGCAACCGTAGGCCGTACCAAAGAAAACTTTCAAGGCCATTCTAGAAAGTGCTTTGAGGCCTCCTGAGGAACTCATGGTGGTCCCGTATACAGCCAATCAACCAAACAAGACGAAGATCTTTGCCTCATTGCTACTCCGTCCTCTTGCCTGCCCCGAGGTACAAGGCTTCATTGAAGAGAAATCTCACGAGGTAAATGGTTGCTTTCTGTAAATTCTTGTTTGAGAGTGAGCTAGGTGCGCTTCATTGTTCCAGCAAGTATGGTTGCCAACCTCGATTTCGTGGAGTCAATTTTCGGCAATGGAGACAACCCTGATCTTGCTGAGAACGACGCGGCATTGGATCCTGAGTATGTCCCATCTTTGGTTCCTGGGTCTATCTTGTAGAATTCTGATTCCAATTTAGGCACTGGACTGGCACAACAGGTTTGGTTGTGCTCGTGCCACATCTCACAAAGTTGAAAGCCAAAGATGTTCATCTCCCGCATAAATCACAGGTTGGCTTCGAAGATTCAAATTCTTTTTTCTTAATTTTGTGGTACCTCGTACAGGCTACACCGCGACAAATTCAGGATGGTATGTTCTGGGAGAAAGAGGATGATCTCTACAATGGTATGAAAACTTACTTTTCATGTATGTTTCGTGAGCTTTGATCCCATAGGAGGAAATGCTTTCAAGTTGACTGCTCGTGATGCACGAGGAGTTGTCGTTACGCTGATTGCCGACAACTACTTCGGTTACTGCAAGAAAGAAGTCAAGACACAGTTAGGATACGCTGCGAATTTGTACGGCCAGTTGGAAGAAGAACACTCTGGTCAGGAATCTTTGTTCATTCGATGCTTGACTGACCAGATCATTTAGGAGGATGCATTGCATTCCCTTCATTCGATCTCGGAGAAGAATTTGCGGCTGGTAGCCTTGGCAAGGTTTAATCCGTCGAAAACAAATCAGATTGAAACGCTTACAATTCGCAGGTTGCGGACAGGGGCAATGCAGCGTACCTCGGCGAGACGCACAAGTATTTGATTGAAACTGCAACCAAGAGGACCTTCCAAGACGTAACCAAGCTGTTGAAGGATGCTGTCGAAGTTCAGCCCGAAGGATATGCCATCGACAAGGATTACCCCGATATCTACTACATTCCAGAGAATGCTATTTTCAGCATGATCAAGCAAAGCATCACATGGACTTCCAATGGAAAGGAGCAGACTATCAATTTGAAGCCAAGGACCACCTACGTTCTTCCGAGCGGATACAAAGTTGAGATGGTGAAGAAGGGATCTCAAAACGTTGTGAAGGGAAAGAGAGGTGGAAAATCAGGACCCTACGAAAAATGGCACCTAAGGGGAACAACTGCTGAAGGAGCAAACCTTCACAAACCTGCAACAGTTTCTGGCGGAGGAAAGTCAGAGATCAGCAAGAGATTGGAAGACATGATTAAATATGGTCCTGTATTCACAAATCATGTGTCTGAGGACTTCGATGCTCTCCAATCGATTTTCAGCAAGGACTACTCTGCTATCATGAAGCCTGGCAATGAAAAATTGCACCCTTTTGATCACATTGGTGTTGCTCCAAGTGCCATCAAGACCCTTCTGGACCCTCGTGTGTCTCTTGGAACCATCATCAAACTCTTGTCATATTCTCCTCACTACACCGCAGAGCATTTGGAGTTCATCAACGGAATTCCATCGTATCTCAGAGAGCTTCTTCAAGTTGTGAAACAGAACTACAAAGCCGAATGGGGTTCCAATTGGCGAGTACATTTCAATGCAGATGCTGTCAATGGCGAGCTTGGCCACGAGGTCAAGTACAAAGGCGATCCACTACTTTCTGCAGTCATCCGTGTTGGCTTCCGTTCTGTTCATGATAAGGAACTTCCTTTGAAGCACGTTGAGGATGATAGCGAGAATGTTGCCTGGAAGACGTTTACTTTGAGGCAGGACTTCTTTCCATGTGAAAAGCTGCAGACAGAAGACGACATCACCGCATCTGTTGTCGTTCCTTCCTCATCTCTAAAGGGCATGAACTTCAGGCTGAAGAAGCCCTCCTACAAGTTTTCACAGAACTGCGAATTCCGCTTGTTTCAGAGGCCAGATGAAGCCATTCACAGAGGTTATGATAAAATCACGGAGCTAGATATGTCCAAGCCTGGAAACTTCATTTCCAACTTTGAGCCGCTTGACAAGGCAGCTGTACAGAAGATTGTCGATGAAACCATTGGATTCGAGAAATTCACAGAGCCCATGCAGGATAGACTTCTGTCCTTCCTCGATTCCTCTTCCTCGTATGTTGTATCTTCTGCCCATCCTCGTATTGTGGATGGAAAACCAACCAAGAATCCCAGATATTTGCAAGATTCTATGGAGATCACGGATCAGCGCGCATTCCACCTCTGCAGCGTGGCCACCAGGTTGGCCAGAGGAATTCCGATGGGAGAGGCGGTCCATACTCCTGTGAACTCTGTCCTCTGCGGACGTCGAAATAATCCCCCTGAGGGCTCAATTCCAGCGCTCGCCGTTCACAATCCCATCCACTACTATGAGTTGCCAGAGTTGTTCATGGAGCTCGCTTCGTCCATGACTGGAAAGTCGCCTTCCACCACAGGAGCTGGATCTGAGGGAGCTTTGACCAAGGGCCCCTTCAACATGCTCAACCAGATTCATGACCTCAATGCTGCATTATTGGCATATGCTTTGACTGAAACTCACGTTTTCATTTCCTCTGCTGGAGTGATTGGTCCCCAGAAGCAGGTTGACCATGACATCTCGCTCTTGGTTCCAGAGGTTTGGAGTCGCATGAGGGAAGAGGAGCGTGACGCTAATTGGCTCATCAAGAATGGGTATCTTGAGAAGATCCCTGACATGAACCTCAATGGTGAGAAGGTTCCGTCCTCGGTCTTGGGTTATCGTATCACCAAGTCGTTTGTCCAGCAGTTCTTTGGCCGTGTGTTTGCTGATCCAGCCTCTGTCTTCAGTGAGGACATGTTGAAGCCAGAATTGCAGGATGAGAAAATCTATGCGGATGGTATCAGAACCATCACTGTCACGAACAAGCGCGTTGCTGAGATGTACTTGGCTGACGGTGGTGTCGACATGGCAGTGCCCCCTCTCAAGGCGCTTTTGCACATCATGGCTAAGGGCGAGTACGAAGGAATGACCCTGGAGAGCCCTGAGTTCAGAAAGCTCTTCACCAGAGAGTCCATCTTGTCCTCGCCTTGGTACCAGGAGAGGATCAAGTGCTTCCAGCAACGTGAAGCCGAGAGACTGCAGAGGGGCATCCAGTATCTCGAGAACTTCGTGGCTGGACCATCCAACAGCAAGGAGGACGACTGGAAGGGCAAGCAGATCTGCGATGAGCTGAAGCTCAACGAGAGGATCGAGCACGTCAAGGCCCAGCTCGCGTATGTACAGTCGGCCGAGTATCTCAAGAAGCTCGAAGGAACCATCGGAGTGGACCCAGCGCTCTTTGACACTGCTCGGGGATCCAACTTCGACCGTAAGCTTCCTATTGCTGGCTCGCACTAGGCACATGGCAGACTTTAATCTTTCATCGCTAGTAAAGAATGGTTCAAGATGCTTGTGACATCTACAGCTTATTGTTTGCCTCACAACAGTTGCGTCAAAGCCTGCGAAAGAGAAACAACTTTCCCGATAATCTTGAAAGAAATATCAGCGCGCCTTCAACATCCTCCCTCTGTGCTCTCCCTTCCTCCTACATCCTCCTCATCCCCTTCCTCCTTCCCTCTCCTTTCTACCCCCACCTTCCTTCCATTCCCCTCGTCGCCTCTCTTTCACCTCGTCGTGCTCCGCTGGCTCTATTAGCTTTCCAAACTTCTGCGCGAACTTGTCGGGATGCCACCTGCCGCACCTCAGTGCTCCATCGTCGCTTCCTGCCGACCAACCGCAGAAGCGCTTCCCTCGACGCCTTCTTCCTCACCGAGGCATCTGGATCAGCAGCCGGGTAAGCAAGCAGGACAAGCAGCTTTTTAGCGAGCAGCTCACCGCCCTCCTGATGAGGAGGGAGCATGAGGGCTTCTAGTGCGATATCTCCTCCTTGAGCATTAGGTCAGGACAAGGATAGGCTGAGGGTTGCGAGGGACACCGGGAGGGACGTGGGGGAAGGGAACGTCTTTCAGCAGGATCCTCCTGGAGGTCTGCTGGCAGGTCTTCGCCAGCTGGAGGAACTGCAGGGCAGCAGGTGAGGTTGGACTGGCTCTCAATTGAAGCTTACCTTCTCCCAGTCTTCAGCATGCTGCGACATTCGCTTCATCCGCTCCATCGTTGTGTCCTGGCTCAGGGAATGCGCAGCCTTCGCCTGCTCTCGCTCCCAGGCCATCCGGTCGCGGTAGTTGGACGAGGAGTAGGGAGTGCTTGAGCTCGAGGGCGGAGGCTTGTGCGCCTTCTGTTGGCCCTGATCGCTGGCAGAGAAGAAGGAAGAATATCTGACGAAGAAGCGAGTGAGGGGAGCGAACAGGATGTGAAATTCCTCACTTGGCGTGTCGAGCATGCATTTCCTTGCCAAGCTGCTCCCACCTGGCAGGCAGGGGAGTCAGGCAGGACCGTAAGAGATCGGGCAGAAGGGTGAGGAGGAGCATAGTTGGATGGAAGGAGCAGGTCAAGGAAGCTTTGGAGAGCAGAGAAGATGGAAAGATTGAGAAACATGCAAAGTGACCAGTCTCCATCCGATGAAGCCTCGTCCTGCCCTGACAGTCAGCTCAAATCGCCACTTTGATATCAATTTTGACCTCCAGCCATTCCCACTCGTCACATCTGAACGTGTCCTGACCCACTCCTCCTTCCCAGCCCTCAAGATGCTCGAAGTGCAGTCTTCCAGACCTCATCAGCGCGCAGGCAACCACCTCTTCCAACCTACTCGTCCTGCAGCTTCTGCTGCCATGCCCTCTCCGCTTCCCTGAACATCACAACGGTCACCTATAGCCGACATCTCTTGAAGCCTTGCATCACATGTCTTTTAGGTTCTTCTGCGGCACTCGGTCATCATCAAGACGATGTCAGTTCGTCTTCCACCTGCTCAATCTCTCCCAGATCATCTCGTCGACACCTCAGGGCCTCAGCCTTCTCCTGTTTCCTGCAAGATGAGTTTTAGGATCGACTGAACCTCCTGCTCACCAAACTCACTTCCTCCCCTCCCTCCCTCCCTCCCTCCCTCCCTCCCTCCCTCCCCCTTCGTTTGTTCCTCCTCCTCCTCCTCCTCCTCCTCCTCCTCTCCTTCCTCTCGCTCCTCCTCTACCTCCTCAGATGCTCGTCCAGCGATGAGAGGCCATCTGACATGCCCCAGTCCTCAGGCTGTCTCATCGTCAACTCCCCTCGCTTGTACCCCGATTCCTCACCGTCTTCCCGTCATGGTTCCGGCAGACCTTCGCTCCTCGCTCGGTCAGGAGCCTGACGAGATCCCAGTGCCTCCCCCGCACAGCAAGATGCAGCGCTGTGTTCCCCTGCGCGTCCTGCCCGTTCACGTCGCAGCACCGCCGGAGGAGGAGGAGAGATATCTGGAAGTGACCGTGCTCACAGGAGAGCTGCAAAGGAGTCTGCCCTGTCTTCTCATCCAGGGAGGACAAGAGCTCTTTCCTGCTGGCGGTCTCAGGCAACTCCTGCCTCTCATCCTCGCTCACCGCTTGCTCAGCATCTTTTCGACTCGTAGCAGGTACCCTCCACCGACAGCATCCAAGAACTTGCGAGCTCGCTTCTGCTGTTTCCTGGAGGAAGCTGTGCGAAAGTTTTGATCGCATTCAGTTGGCGATCGGACACACTTGAAGGCAAGTCACCTCCACTTGCTTCCTCCTCGCTTCTCCTCCTCCTCTTGTCCTTGCCTCGCGATGAATCGTCTGAAGGCACCTCCCGCTTGCACTTGCGCTTCTTTGACTTGTTCTCATTGTCTTTCTTCTTCTTCTCCTTCTTCCTGTCCTTCTTCCCGTCTCTGCCTCCATCTTCATCCTCCATCGCCGTGTCTCTCAGCGGCTGTCAGGGCGCTAGCAGGCTCTCTGACTTCACGCCCTCACCTGCACGCTCCCAACTTCGTGAGCTTCCAACATGGCGATCTCTACCTTCACCCATCCTCACCACACACACACACACACACACACACACACACACACACACACACACACACACACACACACACACACACACACACACACACACACACACACACACAGGGGCCTCGTTAGTCCATCTCCATCTCCTCCTCCTCCTCCTCCTCCTCCTCCTCCTACCACACTGATATCTACACCTAGGCCTGCCCTTGCATGATGCGCTTGGGCCAACAGTTGGGCCAAAAAGAATCTAGTATGAATGAGGGCGATGAATCAAGTTCAGACCTTGCGAGCCAGTTGAAAGTTTCACTTAAATTTTGAAACTTTATGATAAACATATTTCAATATTTGATTTTCTCCCCCAAGGGAAAATTCGAATCACAGTGGGTTAGCACGCCATGGCAGCCAGAGAAACGAGCATAGGAAGTGAGGAGAGAGGAGAGAGGAGAGAGGAGAGAGGAGAGAGGAGAGAGGAGAGAGGAGAGAGGAGAGAGGAGAGAGGAGAGAGGAGAGAGGGAGGGCAGGGCAGGGCAGGGCAGGGCAGGGCAGGGCAGGGCAGGGCAGAGCCAGAGCAGAGCAGAGCAGAGCAGAGCAGGTGATAGCGGAGGAGAAGAGAGGATAAGAGAGCAGAGCAGAGCCAGAGCAGAGACGATGGAGGAAAGTCATGTTTGGAGGATCAGTATGAAATGCGCATTTCATACTGATCGCACAACCTGATAGGAAAAGAAGTGAAATGAACCAGCCTCTGACGAATTCCATGCTACAGAACTTACTTCGCCATCGTGTGAGCTCTATTGGCGATGAACGCAAATGCCAACGCCGCGTTCTTCAATAATCTCCGAGGAACAAGGTTCTGTCATGACATGTATTGCCCGTCGCATTATTGACGATCCCGTTGTCAGTTCTCGAATGTCCATCCGTCCAAAACAAAGCTCCGACGATAAAGAGAATCAAGTTCCAGAAGATGTAAAAACTCTCATCTTGTACCGAATTCCTCACGCTCACCGCGTTTTGAAGGCATTGAAGTCATCGAGAATGCGTCGCCCTCGCACAGCAGCTGCCATCTTGAAGAGCAAGTCGAATGGTGTGTTGTCGCAGAAGCACTTCTGGATGATGAGATAAGAGAGGGTGCATGATGATTACGACGACGAGGATGATATGGTGGTGTCAATGATGATGATGGAGATGATGATCACGATGGAGATGATGATCACGATCATGATCATGAGTGGTTTACTTTCATTGCAGAGCTCAACCAAGAGCAGTTTGACAAGAAACTGGCAGAGATGTATGAGAAGGCAGTGAATGAGCAGAGGGACGATGAAAACATGCATCCCCTGGCAAGAGAGCTCAAGAGAAGCAGCTTAAACTTCTCCGAGATCCTCAACACCAAGATCTCTGCCAAGGGATCGACACTGCGGGATCAGAAGAAACATCTCGATGATCAGAAGTCCTTGATCGGCAAGCTCAGAGAAGGTTTGTTCCCTTGGCCCGTCAGCTCCGCGCATGTCTGAAATGGTGCGAACAGCCCTGCAAGAGCTGCTTACGCAGAGAGAGAGGATTGTCGACAAGGCTGTCGAGCTTCACGACCACTTGGAGGAGAACAGGGAGAGTGCCAAGAGCGCGAGCAGCAGCTTGCAAGACCAGATCAATTCCCTCTCCAACGTCTCTCTTGCATGTTCGTTGCCTGTTTCCCTTGCGCTTATTTGAGGATTCCAGGAGATCTCCGCTAACAAGGTTCAGATTGAGAAGCTTCAGGTGAGATGCCTCAGTAAGCGATCGCTGCTCTCTATGCAAACTTGCTCCTGTCCTGAGAGACAGGCTGCTGGGTTGGCTCCTACTTCTCTTCCTTCCTCATCATTGAGGTTGGGCTCGTTCGCCTGCTCATCATGTGGAGCAGAAGGAATATCGCGAGCTGGAAGAAAAGTATGCAATCAGCACATCTGACAATGAGCAGCTGAGAGAAGAGATCAAGGTGACAAGAAACCCCCACCCCACCCCCTTCCTCGTCCTCTTCGTCCTCCCTATTCTCCCTCCTCGTCCTCCTCCCCTCCTTTCTTCCTCCATTGGCGTGGCCTCCTAACTCTCGTTTCTCCTCGTCTCCATAACTCCAGAGGATTCAAGAGGAATTTTCCGTAGAGAAATCTTCATCGCAGCAGATGCAGACAGAGTTGAAGCAGCGTGTTCAGGTTCTTGCACCAACTTTTCTTAACCTCAGTCCCCACCAGCAAATCCCTCCTCCTCCTCCTCCTCTACCTCCTGTTTCCTCTTGTTCCTCCTCTGTTACCGCCTCCTCTACCCTTGACCTCTCCCTTGCAGGAGCTAGAGGATGTGAAGGAGCAGAACAAGCAGCTCAGCAAGTCGATGGAGCAGCAGCAGGTGAAGTTGCCTCCTCCTCTTGCCATCCTCACGGCATGTGGAAGAACTCGTTCGACAAGGACATCTCAGAGCTGCGAGCGCAACTAGGCCAGGTGAGGGAGGGGAGGTAGGAGACGAGAAGCAGATTGGTCCGAAGGGAAGGGAGGGAGGAGAGGAGGGCGGGAGGGAGGAATGGGTATGGAGGAATGGGAAGAGATGAGAAGATTTTTGTGATGTCTCATCTTTTGATGTGCAGGAGATGGTTTCGAACACGGAGAACAAGAGCAAAGTAAGGGGGCACGTGTAGGGGGGGAGGAGCCGAGCAGGAGGAGGGAGAGGAGAATGTCTGTATGAACCGTGATCCCTTAGTACATGGCGATCTCCGAGCAATATCAGGACCTCAAGACGAAGTTCGCAGGTGAGGAAGAAGAAAGTGGAAGGGAAGTTCTGACTCGAGCTGGGCAGTGATGGAGGAGATGTCAAAGACGAGCAAGACGCAGGTAGGCCACGACGTCGAGGAGGGGGAGAGGAAGGGGAGGAGGACGAGATGGTGATGAGGAATTACAGATTGAACGGCTGGAAGAAGAAGTTGCGAGCCGTCAAAGTCAGGTGAAGCAGAAGCAGGAGCAGGAGAGCAGGAGAGTTAAAGAAGTTGGCAGATCGACAAGCTCGAGCAGGAGCGAGAAGCTTCCTGCAAGAGAATCGAAGAGATGCAGGTCTTGCTTCCTGCCCCCCCTCTCCTCCTCCTCCTCCTTCTCCTCCTCCTCCTCCTCCTCATCATCATCATCATCATCATCATCATCATCATGCTTCCCCTCTTTCTGCTGATCTTCCGCACAGAATCGTCTGGACCTCAAGGAGCAGCAGCAGGCAGACACTATCAGGAGCATGCTTACCGGACAGGAGCTTCAGGTGACGGAGGGAGAGGAGGGGGAAGGGGAGGAAGAGGAGCATCAGGAGGGGGTGGGGGGGGTTAAGGCGAGGAGTATGAAAGAGGGGGAGGAAAGGAGAGGGAGCTGAAGTCTTGTCTGCAGACAGAGAGGATGAAGAAGTTAGAGAAAGACAAGGAGAACTTGACGGAAGAGATTAAGAGTGTAAGTTCCTCTCTTCTCCTCCTCCGTTCTCCGTGCTCCTCCCTTCTACCCCTCTTTCTGCGCCACCTCCCTGCTCCTTCCCCTTCTCCTCTCGCTTTCTGACACGAGCATGCAGCTCCGGGCTGAAGCAGAGGAATCTCTAGCGCAGCTGAACAAGGTGAAATGTTTCCTCCCATCCTTTCCATCCTTTGCTCCCAACACCTCGGTCTCTCCTCCTCTTCTCCCTCCTTCCTCCTCCTCTCCCACCTCCCTCTTCCTCCTCCTCTTCTCCCTCCCTCTTCCTCCTCCTCTCCCACCTCCCTCTTCCTCCTCCTCTTCTCCCTCCCTCTTCCTCCTCCTCTCCCACCTCCCTCTTCCCCGTCGCTCCTCCTCTCCTTCAGCATCTTATCATCTTTGTCGTCAGATCAAGCAAGAGAATCAGCA